GGGGGGGGGGGAAGGGATGGGGGTGTTCCATATTTCTAGGTGGCCACGAAAACAGAAATAATGAACCTTTAGCTAAAAATAGCATTCTTAGCATAATTGAAACAGTGGAGGGGGCAACGGAGATTTAAAAAACAAGAAAGCTTGAGTGACAAGGAGCTAATTTTGGTTGGGAAACTGTATAAATGGGTATGCCTATATATTATACATGTGTATATATATATGGACCTATATAGGCCTATATAATACGAAGTGGCTGTGGGGACCAGAAGTGAGAGGTTGGGATTTAAAAAACATTTTTTAAAATATTATTCTTGGGGTTGTAAGACAAAATTTTGGTATCAAATGAAAGATGATTGAATGGACTCTATGTTTGATAACTTTTTTCTTCAGTTAAACTAAAACAAATTACCACAAATGCCATCCGAATAGCATTGAGTCTAAAGCAGTGGTTCTTAACCTTTTTGGAGGGACTGAACTCCACCAGTTTCATATGCGCATTCACCGAACCCTTCTTAACAGGAAAAATAAAATTTGATTTTTTTTTCTGATTTTTTTTTAAAACTCCGCCAAACCCCTGAGACTGACTCACCGAACCCCTGGGGTTCGATCGAACCCAGGTTAAGAACCACTTGTCTAAAGGGACCCGAGTCCGAATTGCGGCTATAACGCAGTCCCAAATAGGAAATGTTCACAGTTCACAGATTTAAGTTCCCGGCGTTCTTACGACATTCATTTGTGTCCAGATTGAACCGATTGTGTATGGATATTGTGGGGGATTTTAGGGGTTGGGGAAACGCTACGAAGTTGCAGCGTAGAAGCAAACCCCTGTTGTCTTTTTCTTTCTTTTTTATATCGAGACCGAAACTGCGTCTTATTTTAATACTAATAGGAAAACTAAGGACATTTTAAGAAGAGTCCCAGAGGCACTGAAATGAGCGACGAAGATGAGTTCAAAAAAACAAAAAAAAATTCAATGATCGTTAAAAGTGCTGAAAGTTTCGTATCGTCTGCTGGTCGAATAGGAAATATTTGAAACAATGTACAGGAGAACGTGAAAAATAAAAAAATGACAAAACAAAAGTAAAAAACGTGTAGGCAAGACGCCTTCTTCAGGGAACAAAATATAACACGGATATATAAATATCAAATTAAAAAAAAAACAAAAAAAACTTGTCTGAAATGTTGTAACCGAGAGGACAAGAGGAATTCGGGGATAACTGATTTAATCATAAATCTTTGGTTATAGTTAAATAATGAACAGTTATGTTGTAATCCCCAATGAGCGTTGTTTTAACGATTAAATTAAAGTGATCCAAATAGTAAAATTCGTGTGTGGAATGAATTTCGGGCTCGAAATATGGGTATCAACCAGCAGGGAGTAAAGAGTTACGAAAAAGGTTTGGGAACTCCACCAAGATCCCTCCCCCCCTCCACAAAAAAAGGAAAGGAGCTCCTTTCAGATAGGTTCGTTCAGGACTCGTCTTGTCTACAGTGCCGTGCACCGGAGGCACTCGCCCTGTTTGCCAACATCGTCTTTAGGTAGGACCTTAGTGGTGAATTAAACGATAAAATCATACGTACTGCACTTAGACGAGGGACGCATTTTTACTGGTCCGCACGCGGGCAGAACGTTTTTCATATATCGTATATTGAGTGGCGGGCTTGTCAGACTTCGCTTGTCCTTGACATGGTCCTGGGCTAGATTTAGACCTCTCTCTAAACTCTAAAGGGGTCATGAGCACCGTCAACATAGGAGGGCTTTAGAATCGTATGCCTTGCCTATATGAATTGCAATTAGTGGCGCTACTACTAGGGTCGTTGATTTGAATGCGCTCTTAACTAGCCCTGGGTACTTTATCACAGGCCCGCACAACTCAAAATGTAAGGCGGGCCGTAATACTTTATGAAAAACTTGTGCGGGGCAAAAGAAAATAGGACATGACTTGCGCGGGCCAAAGGCAGACTAGGCTTAGGTGGATAGATGTAGAAAAAGATCTACAGCAACCGAAAGTCCAAGCATGTAAACGAAATGCATTAGTTAGGTCTGAGTGGAAGGAAGTGGTGAGGCAGACCATAGCCCTGCAAGGGCTGTGGTGCCACATGGATGGATTGCGCGGGCCAAGAGAAAATAGGACAGAGGGTAAAGCTATGAAGAAAATAATAAGAATAAAAGACTATTTGGTTACTTCGCGGGGCCCATTCGGCCCGCATGTTGTGCAGGCCTGCTTTAGTCCTTTGCCGTTACCCCTTCAGATCATTTGGTCCTTGTTACGATAATATCACTTGTGAGTATAAAGAGCAATGACGAAAGGTCTACCACTCCATCTAAAAATGCACAGCTCTTCTCTCTTGTTCAGTTTCAGATGTACAAAAGGTGTTGAAGAGCTTAAGAGTTACAGCGTTGGTCATAGCATCCGACTGAATTTAGTAACCACGTGTAATTCCTGCCCAGACACTGGTGATGTTTTCTAGGATTTATTTCAAAGTGAAGAGTCCTCTTTACACAAATTTGTTGCAGCTATTCTTGAACATAATTCCATGTTCGTCATTGTTAATTATTTTACAGTGGCACATAAGCTACAGGGTCTAACAATGGGCCCCCATGTTTGCATTGCAATATAAGAATGACACCCATATGATTAAGATCATATATTCCTACATCTTAAGGAGTATTTTTATTCTGATAAGGGTGCGCTACTTTTACAGCAAATTATTAATAACTGAATCGTGTAAATAAAGCCCTGAACAAAAAAGGTTGAGAATCACTGCACTAAGAATAGTCCTAAATTGATTCAAAGGAACAAACAACATGACCTAATTAAAATGTAGATGTACAAGATCAAGCTGTATATCAGTGAAAATATATTCAATTTATTTTAAAATAGCAACTCATGTAAAAAAAGAGGCAGTGCAACAGATGGCATGACATTGAGTGACAACATATTATCAACAAATAACAAACATAGTATCAACCAATAAAAATATGTGGTCTTAAACTAACTGATGCCTACTTTAATCTTATAGTTAGCTATATCTTCAACTATAAATGTGTCTATTGTCTGTGTAGCAATATTTAAAAGTTCTAATATAATTTAACTGATCCTTTACAAAATTTTCTCTGATTAATACTTTTAACTGATGCCCGTGTCTTACTTGGAAATGGCTGCTAAAATAAGAAAAGTCACAATTCTATCATACACCATGAACGGCATTAAGTTCTAGTTTGTCCTTCCGCTGTTTCATGAGGACAGCCAAACTAAATCAAAATATTGTGGTCCACAACAGTGGTGATTGATGACTAAATGCCGCCCGGAACGAACTCCAAAAAAATTGTTATTTTTTTCGAAAGATAATTTTAAAAATTAAACAAAAACAAGAAAATGAAGCATCCATAAGGAAGAAAACATAGAATGGATGGCTGTTGCCATTTCTACGGAATTTTTTATTCACTTAATTTTAGCTGCTGAAATTTAAATGTTAGTAAAGCAAGAGGGAAAAATTATTAAAATTCATAATTATGCAGTTAGTATTGAAATGGAAAAGTTTACTAATCCAAAAGCAAATCAATATAAAAAGTTTACTTTGAATAGACCTATATTAGAAACACAATTTAGCCCCCAACCCAATGCCTTTCCATTCCCCCACTGGACCAGAATCAGATAAATACAAAATTCATCTTGTGGGTTCACTTCAAGTTTAACAATTACATTACCGAGACGCGGTTAGACAAGCGACTGTATAAATCATCTCTAAAGGTGGCGGGACTTCTGATGTATGATATGGTCACTTGATTATTTACAGATGTTTATGTTTATTAGCTCTTATAAGCACATTGGCCAATGACTAAATACAAAAAGACAGATCAGCTAAGAAGCACTGATGTAGGCTCTACCTGTTTTGAAAACTGAGAAAGTTGGTGGTCTAAGAATAGTTAAATCAGAACTTTCAAAACTTAGGACATAAAAAAAAAAAGCTAAGAATGTGAATATTATTGTAATAATGAAAAAAATATAAAATTACTGCACACAGTAACAAAAAATAAACTTCTGGAAACCTCTGAGTTAGATTATATTTTTTAAAAATCCCAAGAAAAATCCACCTATTAACACCTTGCTAAGTTCCATGATAGTCCCACTAGTCAATGTAACAAATGAATGAAACATATCAATGAATTGTTCTCCCATTGAAGTTGATTCCTCTTTCGACCCTAGGCTCACACATTAGATGCGTGGAGCTACAACTAATTCCTAATGTATTTACGTGAACCTGAGAAGTAATTTGTTTGTGGCAGTATTGTCTTTCTTACAGCTTGAAGAAATAAAGATAACCTTCTAATTAATGGCAATGGCTAGACTGAACAATGAAAAAGTATGGTATGAAACAACATGAAATTAACAAAATTGGTGATACTTTAAAATGACACCAGCAATTGAGAAATTTGTTAAAAGTATTTAACGTCGACTTTAATTTGTGTTAGTAAACTGTTAATTTTGCTTTTTTTTTTTAAAATTAAAAATTGTAATTTCCTTCTCAATTTCACTGTTTAAAAGCATTAACTGTTTTATAGCTTGCAAGAACATTATAAAATTTAAACAAACAGGCTAAGCAAGCCATTTGAACAATGACAGGCAAATCAAGCCCTTTTAACAATGACTGCCATAAAAAAAGTACCATCAATAATACATGTCAGCACCAACTATAGCTAGCAAAACGAAAATCCTGACCAAACTAATGTGATCCTGTGACTTGAGAGAAACTCATTGAGCCCAACCCTCATCTTCCCTATAACTCTGGCTAGCGTTCTATCATCTAATTGTTAAGCATCAGTGCCTGTGGTTGTTGCCGTTATTGTTGTCCCCGCCAGTTGGCATGACGTCACCAAAAGCTGCCACTTCCTGGTCCAAGGGCATCATGCCTGCTGCCATGTCATTATTCCACTCTCCTATTCCTTCTTTGAATACACTATCTGCACTGAGATCATTTCTCTGTGGCCAAACAAGAAAAAAAATGTGTTGACATGAAACTTTGAAAAAATTCACATACAAACAAAACATTACTCGCTTTTAAACACATAAGACAATTATTTGAAACACAAATTTGCCCAAGAAATATCTTAGAATGTTAAAATAAATTTTAAGAAATTCTGGTCATGGCTGACAAATGGGAATCTAATTTAGTGTCTTAATGGACAATGTAGCATGTGTTTTTAAAGTTGTTGCAATTTTTTATGGTAAGATCAATTTTTTTTTTTTTTAATGGCTTTTAAAATAAAATATGCCACAAAATTATAAATTTAAGTGCTGAATTCTTACTTTTTCTGAAATACAAAAAACAGATAAGGTCCAATGTCCCATTGCTAAACAAGAAACTTAATTAGATATATTTATTTCTAAATGCACCTACCCCCCACCTTGGCACTCTGCTGTGTCATTTTGCTAAACATATTTGCGTAGAGTTTCTTTTCTTTTTGATGCTCTTCTTGTAGCTTCTTTTTACACAAGACAATCTGATTTTTGGCAGCTTTGTTCTCTGGCTCCAATGCGATGACTGTTTGGAAGTCTTGCACTGCTAGATCATAGTCCTTACGATTCTGTCGTGCCTGGGTAAACACATTGAATAATTATGCATTATTTTGAACAAATTTATATTATTTTTTTGTGAGATTAAAAAAAAAATTATTTAAAAGAATCCGGGTTAAACAAGAAAAACAATTCAATGTTACAATATCAGCATGTATTTTATGGAGTGCTGTTTTAAGTGGCAGGTAATTGGTAATATACTAATTTCAAGCTAAAATTGATAGCAGCATTTTGAGACTGATTAATCTTCAAGGGCTTTTGACTTATGCCTTTGTGCAATAAGGCCATAACTGAACAAAAAAAATTCTTGACAATTTTCACAAGACATTTAAAAATTCTACTGCATCCTTAAGATATAATAATTTGTCATTGGTTTGAAATTTTTTTTTAAGTCTGGGTATTTTTGAACAGCTTCAAATTTTTTTTTTTTAATTAGAAGAACAAATGACCCTTGTGAAGACTTAGGATGAGAAGAAAAGAAAAGTAGTCAAATTCATTTTAATATTTTAAATAATCACCTGTGCACGTCTGAAATAAGCCTTTGCGTTATCCTTGCTGAGTTCCAGAGCTCCATCACAATGTTCAATAACTTTGGTGTCATTTCCCAATCTTAATTCACAGGCTGCAAGATTTAAGTGGGCTGCCAAGACAAGCACATCTCTTTTCTCTTTTTCTTCCCCTTCTAAAGTGCTTTCACTGTCCAAGTATTCAAGTATGGTTGAGTAGTTTAGCATAGCCTTTTCTGTAAGACCTTTCTGTTATTAAAAAAAAAAGAATATGGCTTAAAATGTGTTTTAATTTCCATATACTTAACGTGAGATTTTTAGAGCAATGTACAAAATTAAACATTGTTGTCTCATCACACAATAATTTCCACAAAGACACATAGTTTATTTTTAAAAAAAAATTACATTTACCTTAAAAAGTTCTGTGCCTTTATCTTTTCTAATTTGTGCTTGCTCTAATTTTTCTGGCGTGTCCATTTCATATACTTTTTTAGCCTGGACAAAAAAGAAGAGTCAATGATTCAAATGATATGGGTTATATTAAAGATTTTAAGTTTACAGCTAGTCATTCAATTATGATATATTCAAACATAGAGGTTTCATGTCCCACTGTTTTTTTTTTTACACGTAAGAAAAATTTAAAAAATTTCTTGGTTAATTTTGCAGGCGGTATGATAAAAGTGTCTCCCCTTTATTATAACCCTTATTTTTGAAAAAGAGCCTACGTCCCTTCCACCAACACTCATATCTTACAAATACACTGCCAAGTACAAAGTTAGGTACTCTGAGTCTGGTCATAAAGCCTGTTGTTTGTAAGACTTAGTTTTAAAGTCAACTGCTAGCTGTATTGGATACAAATTTACAATTAATGACGACCATGGTGCTTCTGAAAGCTATTATTTAGACACCCACCTTCTCAAAGGAAACAAGTTCTACTTCATATGTTAGAGTTGCATCTGCTGGAATGTTCAGTTCTTTATTTCCATCCTTTCCATAGGCATAGGTTGGGCTGATAGTGAACCTAGACTTTTCCTTCTCCTTCATTTTCTTTATGGCCGTCTCTAACCCTACAGTAATTTTGGGGTCTTCTACTTCACCCAGAGTAAAAGTGGCTGCTGCCTCGTCTGCTATTACTTGCTGGCCGTGTTTTATCTTGTAATTGACTGGTATTGAAAAATAATATATTTAAATTAGCAGATTGATACCTTATTTATATCTAATGAAACATTTTAAACAAATTAAAAGTCTCAAATGAATGACAAATGGTTTTACTCATTAATTTTGTCATATAAATGATTGATTAATATAACAAAGTTATGCTGATTGTTGTGGAGGGATTTACATCGGTCATTAAAATATTTGCATAGAAACATTTCATGATTTAACTTTATGATTCAAGCCATGAAATAAATATAGAGATAAATATAAGGTAACAGTAACATTCAAATGTAGCTAATTCCAGATTTAAAACAATTAAGCACTGGTACTTACTAGTGACACTTGCAAAATCTCCAGGAGTTTTGAAACCAGTTCCTTCTGTTATGATACCACGAATTATACCTTTATCTTTATTCGTAGAAATGTCTTCACCTAGTGTAGGAAATGAGTGCAAAGATTAGCTTATAATTGAAGAATAATATAATTATATTATGTCAAACATTTGCAAATATTTCTTATTGTGTAACTAGACATTCCAGATGTTCATAAATACATTCCGAATGTTCACAAATATTGATAGACAACTTTCAGTTTAAAATGTTATGGTTTAGATTTGAAAAAAAATTAAATTCTAAAAAGCTAAATACATTTTATCTTCTCTACACTGAAAGAATGTTTTTTGCATCAAAAACATGTTTACAGGATTAATAGAACCCCAACAATCAGTGTGGGTTTGAGTTGAATAGAGAAACAAATGCACAGTATTGTTCTGTCATGGTCATCTTAAAGAGTTCACAAAATTCCCAAGTTCATACCATATCATTCCGTCTTTCAATTTACTCTCTCTCTATATATATATATGGACCTATTGATTCATTATCTAATAATTTTAGTGATACATTACGAAGTTACTAAAATATCCTTAATGCCTCAGACCAAATGCACAAAACCAGTGCTGTTCACCCTTTTTGATTATGTGGGCAGAAAAAAAATTTCCCCATGCATCTGAGGGCCACAAATGATATCTCAAAAGAAAGATTTGTTTTCCTTAGTTTCTAGAAAATGATTTTATTTGTATTAATACTTCTTACCTTATGCATAAAGAGTCATATATCCAATAGCATTATAGTCTCATCAATCATACAAATAAAGTGAATAAAAACTGTAGCCATTTTTTAATGATATATTTTGCTTTGAGATGATAGCAACTGAATTTAAGAATCCAAAATATTTTAACTCACTTTGACCACATAATTTAATAAAGAATTGTAAAAAAAAATTAATCAATGTTAAAAAATATATGTAACGAGAGAAAATTTATGAGAAAACATTTTTAAAATAAAGTTGATTATTAATTACCTTCCCACGAGAACAACTCAACTTCAAATACAAGAGTGGCATTAGGAGGAATCTTGGGTGGTGATCCAGATTCACCATAAGCATACTCTGATCGGCATGTTAGTCTTGCCAATTCTCCTTTTTTCATTGTGGCCACACCAAGATCCCATGCTTTAATTACTTGACCTATCAACCATAATTAAAAAAAGATTATCACAATGTTAATGAGTTTTTCTTCAAAAGATATATATTAAGGAGATAGCAGTTAAGACCTACTTAAAAAATATAATATAGTAGATTTTTTTCAACAAGATATCTTAACTTATTTATTACAAGCATTTATTTCATGACATTCCAGTCAGTTTTATTGTGAAATCAGAGCGATGGAAAATTCGCCAGCTTTATTTATCATGACTTTAAAATTTAATAATTTATTATAAAAATCATTTTTGAGTGGAGTGGAATTTATTCCTCCGAATAATAAAATCTAACACAACAGTGTCCATATTACCAGTGCTCGCTCTCCATAATTACTAATAACCCATAGTTGTACCTAAATAAGTCAAGTACTTAACTTACTAGGCCAAGATATTTTTATTTTCAATAGTAATCATTAAATATTATCAATTATAGGAACTTCAATAACTATAACTTTTAGTGATACTCAAGTCTCCAGTACTCTACTGATTCAAAATTTAATGCTTTTTGTTACAACTGTTTTGATACTGATAGATTTAGATTGTATCTGAACCATAGAGATAGAGAACGGTAAATGTATGTTTTCCTGTATCCAAATAATTTTACTTTACTGAACTGAGTTTTACTTATACTTATAGGCAGTGCCTACGTGTCTGGCGACCGGACAAATAGTGTGGGAGATATTCGTCCGGTGGGCATGTCACGTGCCTGCCGGAGGACTAGTTTGTGTTATTATTCCGGCCGACGTGTCATGTGACAAGAGGTCGCCGGCAAAATAAAAAAAAAAAAAGTCTGTCACCTTGGTTTAAATATCTTATAAAGCTCTACCTAGTAGCCTAAATTTAAAATATGAACCAAAGAAAATAAGACCAATACTTGCCAGTTGACTGGCAATAGATCTACTGTCAAAAAAGTTTTATTTTAGGCTATTAATATTGCGTGAGACGTAGACTACCCCAACAGCTCACCATATTGACCCTATATTAAGATGTAGGTTCTATTTCTTTGTGAACGTTCGACCTTCCCGCCTTAATTATTTATCACCCTTACTATAATTTTTATCCTTTCTATTTCGCTTTCAGTATTTCTTCCTTCTAGTTATGCATTGCTCTTCCCCCCTCCCTTCCCCCAATTATTTCTTCAAATGAAGTGCATACTCGTCGCTCCCCATGCATCTCGGACGCCAGTTTTATGATCGACGACTGTTAAGAGGTCACGTGACAAGGCTGACGGATATATATCTGGCCCAACTTTGTTACTTGGGTCATGTGACCTGGTCACCGGACAAATATCTTGAGAATTATTTGTCCGGTTGCCGGACATGTTGATGTTGACACTTTGTTACTTATATTCAACTCATACTTACAATTTACAAAGTTAGGCCTAAGCCTATTAGGCATGTATCATATACTAAGCCCGTTATAATAAGTTTTACAGCTAATGACACTATTATGAAATTAATTATATAGTTTGTCGACTATATTATAAATTATATTATTATTACTAGACTCACTATCATTATAATAGACTATTATAGGCCTAGATTGCCTAGATATAAATTATAATACAGAGTATAGATAGAGTAATAGACTATGCCTCATGCTTATGACATTATGAGTAATTTAAATTAGTCATAATAATTAGTAGACTAGTAGTAGTAGTAGTAGCCGTAGGCCTGTGCCTATATTTATATCACTATACCATAGGCATAGGCCATGGGCCATAGTCATAGACTCCTGGGCCTAGTTGAAGACCAAAAAACAACAAATAAAAATGAAGTCAATAATTTAATTAATACCTTTCCCAAGATTAAAAGTAAATAAATCTCCCCGCTCCCTGCTGGAGTCAAATACTGTCCCGTCAAGTAGAGTACCAACATAGTGAACTGAAACTTTATCGCCTTTGGACGGTTTCTCGTCTCCTTCGCCTTCTCTTAAAATTTCTTTTAGAACACCGCCATCATTTGTAAGATCCTCTCCAGCATTCGTAACTTTGACTGTGGGTTCAGTTTCCATTGTTTCTGGTTCTGTTGATGCCATTGTTCGTATTGTTACTATGAAGTCTATGTACCGAAGCTTATTGTAGTTTTCTGTGATGAAAAGTGAAATAACAATTATCACGTTGCTGTCTCAACTGTCTGAGATTTATTTATAATATCGCCTGAATGAATTTACTGGAACTTTCGTTATACAAAGGGAGAGCACGATACATCATTTGTCGCCTCCCTTAGCGTCTCGCACATGCGCAGTGTATATAAGAAACCAGTAACGGGGATTCCCATGTCAAAAGCGTTTCTCAGTCAGCGCTTCTAAAACATTTCGGGCTTGCAATTTTGCAGCACTTTGAAATCCTTTTGTGAGATCTACCTTGGATGGAACTCCATCCATTTATCCATCTAAATTAATATAAAAATAAGAAAAAAAAAGAAGCCATTCACTCGATGCTCAATTATTATTATTATTATTAAGGCGGTTTTATATAGTACTGCGCTTCACATAAAAATCAGAAATTACAGAAAATTATACATCTAAAAACCACAATTGATGAAAAGCTTGACCTCACCCACCCAAGTACTATCTAACCCTGTCTAGCCATGGACAGCATCAAGCGTTGTTTATCAGTTAGAGGGGGTGAGAATGAGTTGGTATAAGTATAGTACAGTTTAAAGAGATGGGTCTTGAGGGCTGTTTTCAAGGCTGGGGTGGTCATTATATTGCGGATATGTAATGAGAGAGAATTCCATTGTTTTGGGGCACAGAAAGAGAAAGATAGTTCACCATATGTTTCAGTGCGTGTTCCGGGAACAGAAAGAATACGCGTGTCTGAGGAGCTTTCGAAGGGGTGAATAGATAGAAAGAATTTCAGTAAGATAGGAAGGACATGAACCAGAGAAAAAGTTGTGACTGACAGCTTTTTATCAATGCGTGCCTGCATAGGCATAGGGAGCTAACGAAGTAAATGAATTATAATTATGAAATCTTAATTGTTTCTCTTGTCCCTGCCCGAGCTACAAACACGCAACTACTTTTTATTTTAAAAATTTCGGACCCATACTTGTAATTGTAATCGCAAGAATTATTACTTTAAAAAAAACCTATTTATTTTTTGAGACTCGAATATATAAATTATAATAAAATTCCTTTGTGACAAAGATTTCTCAAATTTTAAAATGAACTGTTGAGTTCATAGTTCAAGGTTCAGATGCCATTGAAGTACTAACTAACGATAAGTATTAATGAATGTTGTAAATAAACTAAGGTCTAGTTTAACCGTGCCCGCCCAATGTGTTTGTCACAATCATTTCCTAGCAAAGTCTGCAACTTTTTCATTAACGATATTAATAATTGTTAACTCAACTTAGTTCCCGTCTCCACTAGTCAGTTTAATGTGGAAATGTAATTTAGAAGTCTGAAAAGTAACTACTGACTACGTAGTCGTCGTAGTTTAGGCCTACGCCTACACTACATTATTACTATACTACATTTTAATTTCCATGAATATTTTATCAGGACTTCATTATTCAGGTAGCCCTCGTCTCTTTCATGCTAGGCTGAAAACGATCGTGAGGCATATTTTAGTTTTACAAAACGTAGACTTAAAGTGTAAAAAGCAAATTGAACCTTATTCAAACTGCACAATAGGTGACATGGCGGGTGTTAATAGTAATCATAGTCTCGGTACGGCTGCTGCTACTAGTACCACCCCTGTTGCATATGCTGACGGTGAGATTGATGGTTTATCGAACATGCATCTCAGTTTTGCTCCATCAAAAACATCTCCTAGGAGAAGCTATTCTCGTGCTATGAGTGGCCAGAGCACTGCAGGAATTATAGGTAGGTATCTGAATCTGAATCTGGTCCAATGTGGAAATTAATAATAAATTATGTAAATATATAATATAGCATAAGAATAAGAAATCAATTTGTACACAACCAATTTGTATGAAGGAATTTTGCTTGCATCGGAAGTTTGTTTGAATGGAAGTTTGTTTGACAGAGATTTGTTTGAGTGAATTTTAAAGAAAAAAGACCCTGTCTGTATGTTATGCTATACTGCTATACTATAAATAAAAACAATCACAAACATCAACAGTTAACAGTTTGATTCTTACAAATTTCAGGTAACCAATTTACTCAGTTTCAAACATCAGCATGATCAGCGCTGCCAATTTATTATTTGGCTTAGCATTCCACTGCTGTATAAATGAATAATGTGAAGGAAGACAAACACATATGACATATGAATTTATGACATTCTATTATACTTATGTATTGCCTACAATGAAAGCTATCAAATATGCTGCAGGCCTAACTGGACCTCTACTATAAAAAAAAATAAAGCCTTTGCGATTATAATTAGGCCTAAAGATTTACAGTTTAAACTATTTTAATCATGCATCCAGTTCACATCGGTCTACTATTTCTAACCTAGTAGTCTAATTTATTAACTTTTCATAGTAAAAAAAATTAAATTTACAAAAATAGTTGAGTAGTTTAGGCTTAGTTTTGCATAGCCTATAGCAGTGGGTTCCCAACCTTTTTGACTCCCCGAGACCCTTTTTGAATATATTTCTGTGGAGGGAAGGGAGCGCCATGTCTCTTCTGAGAAGTGCATGCTAAGCCCTAAAACCTGAACCGTTAGGGCTCCATGGATCACAGGTTTGGAACCACTGAGTTATCGGATAAGCTATATCATATGCAATAGTTGGCGAGGCCTATTCAGTATAGTATAGCATAAGCCTAATGATTTTAAAAATATTAACATTTTTAATGGCTAGTTTTAAAATACCAGTATATGCTTTAGTCTGAAAGTGATTTGGATTGGTAGAGAGATGCATTTCTATTGGAAATATGTCATTTTTACTATTAAAGTTTCACAAGTCCAATAATTTATCACAAATAATCAAATAATCCATGTTTTATGTTACTATAAAAATTGAATTTGATAAACAATAAATAAATGCGTCTCTTGTTACAGTTATTGGTGATGAAATCCTGAAGGGCCAAACATTAGACACAAACTCCAATTTCATTTGCAAAAAACTGTTTTCTCTGGGAGTCAAAGTCCTGAAGGTAAATTGATAACTTGGATGAGTCATAAATTTTAATATTTAAAGGACTTTTTTCTACAATACAGCTTGAACTCAGGCTCAAAAAATGATACAGGTTTAGAAAAAAAAAACAGGCTGCTACACCTTTTTTATCATTGCTTCACATAGCGGTGACCTGGACACCGCAGCCAGTCCATGAGCTTTCAGTGGCTGATCTGCAAAAGGTATAATAAGTTAAGAAGTTGTAAAAAAAAACAATAATCAATAAATTAAGTACCACTGCTGCAATGTGGTCAAGTAAGTTCCAGACATTAATGTTCCTAAGGCTTACTATGAAACTTACTTAAAGTCTAGTATAATGAAATTGATATCCACTAATTTAAATGATTTCCACACTTTCTTCTTTATATTTATGTTTGAAATACCTATGGTACACAAATAATGGCATAATAATAAAGTTATTTTCTATTTTTTGATCAATTTTGCATCAGGGTTGTACAGATACCAACAATTATTTTTAAAACATTTCTCTACTGGTTTAAAAAGAACTGAGCTTAATGGCATTGCAAAGCATGATGAATAAACAGATTAAAATCTTGTGCAGAATCTTGTCCATGTTGTATTATTTGAAAAAATGTGTACATCTGTGGACTAAGCTTTTTAGTTGTACAATAAATGAAGGACAGGGTTCAAGCTGTGTGACACCCTCTTTGATGGTTAAAGTACCATTAGGGTGGCTAACATGTGTGAGACGAAATGTGATTTATGCACTAGCGTGTTGTAGATGCTGCTCCTGTTATACAGGTGAAACTGTAGCAAGATCACCAGATAGGTTCACTGAACATCTTCATGATATTTAACAGGGTAAACTTTCCCCGGTCTCATCCCATTTCAAAGGAGATGAAAACAAAGGGACATCAGATGTTTCCATCATGACACTGATTTCCTGAACTAACACATCAGTGAAAGTTTGAAAGGAAATCAAATTAATTCAGCACAATATCATCATATGGAGTTAAGCAAATTCTCTCTTGTGTGTTAAAATTTTATTTTTCACAGTAATAATACATAAATTATTTTACTTCCTGTAATCTTGGTTTAGGAAAACCCAACTTCCTGCAATAACATTAATATGGCGAACACTTAAGTTTAAAAAAAAAATACTTTCTATTTCTTGTTATTTCTTCATTTGTCTTGTCTGCTGAGGAAGGCTTTTAGCCGAAACATTCTTCTTTTATTGTCCTTTATTTCTATTTCAAGCTTCCACATACCTTGTTCTTCTATTTAAATTGTACAACTTGGCATGTAGTCTATTTTGTTTTGAATCATGAATAAAACATATTATGGACAATTGGGAAATATCTGCAACTATGTGCAAAGAAAGCTTAACTCTAGAACTTTGTTTTTAGGAAATAGTAAATAGGTTCACTGAAGTGTCACATGATCCTATATAATTATTTTCATTCCGAAGTATTTTTATTAAAAAGTATTTTGAACATATGCTACATTCAATGTCAGGGTTGCATAATAATATGTATGCTTTAAAAATAGCTAACTTTAAATATTAATAATTTAAAGATATTTCAATTTTAATTAGGGCAATACCAGAATGAATAATTGATAACAGCATTTTTTACAATCTTAAAATAATTTTTCTTCCAGCTTTGTTTATGTTCAAACATACTGTAATGGAGCAGAATTTATTGTATAATATATGATAGATATATTTTAAACTCAATTTAAACAAAATTTTCATTGCCTATAGTGGCTTAGCTAGGGTTAGTACCACCTGGGGCTGGCGGGAAATTATGCCGCCACTTTCCACGAAAAAACTCTGCAGTTGTCCAAAAATGCCACCCCTCCACATTAAAGAAAAAAGTGCCACCCTGGGTGGACCACCTCCTATACACCCCACTTCCTACGCCACTGATCGTCTATCATGTGTGCTAATAATTGTGCAAAATTATCCATACTTGTTTTTAATAGGTCTTTGTAAAACTATAATTTTTTTAAAGAATCAACTCTTATTAAATTGAATAATAGGGGCATAAATAACGTTTATTTGCAAGGAGCTACATTTATATGTTGGTCCCTCTTTTATATTCTTCAGCTTTGTAATTCAAAACATTAATTTTTTTTGGGTAGATATCTGTGGTTTGCGACTCACTGGACCAGATAGCAAATGAGGTGGCTTTGTTCTCACAGATGTTCACCCATGTCATCACTTCAGGTGGCATTGGCCCGACTCATGATGATATGACATTTGAGGGTAAGTTGAATTGGATGACTCATGCATTAATTTTCATGTAAAGTTAAATTTTGAAAAAGTAAAGTCACATTGACTTAAGAAAGGTCATTGACTTAAGAAAGGTCATATGATTTAGCTATTGATGAAGCCCAAGCTTTGCTCACATCAAAATTAAATACATGATGGCGACCTTCAAAATAGAAGAGATTTTGTTTAAAGATTGGAAAAATGGGAAGACAGTTAACATAATAATAATAAGAGATAAAAAAAATTTTTTCAAGTGTATTGCCCTTCATTCATGCTTTGAACATAATCATATACAGGTGTGGCCAAAGCTTTTGATCTGAAAACTGAGCCCCACCCTGAACTGGTCCAGCTAATCACAGACTGGTTCAAGACCACTGACATGAATTCAGCTGAGATGAAAATGGCAAAGGTCTGTCTCTGTTAACTTTAAACCTTCCTGTCTTACAACAGCAGCTTGGTACAAGCTTTAACTCTAAACTTGCCTATTTAACAACTGCAGATTGTGGGCAAAGTAAATTTTTTTGTTTTTTTATTGCCAGTTAGTCCTTTTTGCAGGGGTGGGCAAAATTTTATAGCTGCGAGCCAGATGCAAGAGGTAACGGAAGCATGGGAGCCATAAAAGGTGAAAGTGGGGAGGGGAGTATTTCACATGAATCATATCAATTCCCAGAAAATTGGGATTTCACCAGAAAAGTGAAACAACCCCATATAGTAGTGACATCTGCAATTGAAAATTTAAATACATGTTTGTTATTTTCCCTTTCCATGCTAACCCGGTATTTTAATTAATTATTTTTTTAAATGGAGAATGAGCCTTTCAAGACTGAGGAGTAGGCAACAATCGGCTCACGAGTCATAGTTTGCCCACCCCTGCTTTATAGGGTGCTATACAACAACTTTTTATAAAAACTTTTACTTAAAAAAATTATTTTTAAAATTTATTTTACCTACCATTGTAAACAGAAATTTTTTATGGAAACACGCATGATACATTATTATACTGGATCCTGATTCTGAGACAAATCTGTATAAAAAAATTTATACAACCCTTAAAGACAGACGAGAGGGACTCCGCCTGATATTCTTATATAAAGTGATCATGGGACTGGTGCCGGCCATCCCAGAAGGCATGTACCTCACCCCCACAGAAGCCGGGTAGACTGATCAGAGCAAAACGCGCACTGAACACTGACTTCTCACTGACATTCCCATAAACAATTACACCAGAAACAATAGCAAATGCTTCAAAGTGCCTCAGTGCAACACAGTGCAGTATCAACAATCTTTCTTTCCACGCACAAAAATAGCATGGAACCACCTGAACGATGCCTCTGTGAACTCGACATCGGTCAAAAGTTTCGAGGCTGCCATGGCATCAGCTGGGGGTTGTTAGAATAGCAACATCATATCCCCAACCGTTGCAAAGATGCCAGTACATGGATGCAGCAACAAAACATTACCAGAACCAGAAATCTGGTTTAAAAATTTTTTTTTTTATAATTTAGGTTCCTCAGACTGCAACTCTTCATTTTGGGACTGATCCAAAAACAAAGCAGAGATCCAAGTACCCACTGGTGTCTGTCAGGAATGTTTACATGTTTCCTGGTGTGCCCAATCTTATGGAGAAAGCTTTTACTATGCTTGGGGTAAGCTCCTGTCACACTTTTAATTATTCTTTGAAATGTAAAGATGTTTCAAGATAAAAATATTTTTGTGTCTGAAGTGTACATGTTAACAAGTTAAAAAAGAAAGCCCATCAAAACATGCAACTTAAATAAATAATTTTTTCTATGGAAGAATAAAAATGTGAACTTGTAATTATGGTATATTAAATTTCTAAGTCAAAGTAACAGTATCGGTACTTGTTTTGAGGTTATACAACTTATAAATCTTACTTGTTGGGAGTAAGCCATTGGAATATAGCTATGGCCATGCCCTCTCTACAGAGTATTTAAGTATAGATTTTAATTACATGAGAAATGCATTTGGACATAAGAAAATTGGAGCCAGAAAAAAAAAATATTGCCAAAAGGGCAGCCCCCAGTGTAACAAAATAACCAGCTTTGCTTGCAACAGTTTTTTTTGTGTTTCTTGTGGTAATTAAAGTGCTTTATTAAACAAAATAAAATAAATTAGAAATAAGGTTCAAGATATCCAGCACTTTATTTAATTAATGTAATTTAATTTATTTATTTAACCGCCCTGGTGTTTTTAATTTAAATTTGGATTTGATGACTTTATCCTTGCTTTGCTATTTTCAGCATTTGTTTCAAAATCCTGATGTGGAGTTTCACACAGAGGAGCTGTATGTCAACAAGGATGAGGCTTCGATAGCTGCATCTATCACACAAGTTGCGGAGAAGTACAAGGATTCTGTAGTCATAGGGTCTTACCCTGACATGGTGAACAGGTGAGACAGTTACAATACAACATTGGTTACACCCTGACCTGTTAACAGGTAAGACAGTTAAAATACAACATGGATTACACCCTGACCTGTTGAACAGATGAGACAGTTACAATACAGCAGTGCACAGACTTAAAATTTACTCATTGTGTGATGAGGTTTACTTAGTTTTAGGTAGCTATGACTATGAGCTCCTCTTTGTTGCAGATGATTATTTCTGTTACTATTAGCTCTGCTTTTCATTCGCTGCAGAACACCTTGTTAACATTGCTAAAATTACCTGGGACTCTCATATAGGTTTATGTTGATAAAATCACTTAGCATATTGATGTAGGTTAATGTTGATGATAATATTCATAGTTGGAACAGGTTGTGTTCATTAAGGTGTAAACCACTATTGAAATGGCAGTTGGACTTCTGCATCATTTCATTAGGGATAATGGAGTATAACGTTAGGACCCTTCTCATACCAACAATGAACGATATGAACAGATGGGCTGATTGGGATGTGGGGGGGGGGGGGGGGGGGGGGGTGGGGAAGGGGGGGGTTGGGGTGGTCGGAAAGGGCTGGTTTGGGTGGGGTGGTGCTGTTCAAACGTGCACTCTGCTGGCTGGTCTTGTAAAAAAATATCCAGTTGCCTTCAGACACAGACAAATCTGTATGTACATGTTATGTTATTTGTGATATTAAATTGGAGATGAAAAGAGTTTTTGTACCATTTTTTTTTAAATATTCCACCTGAATTAATTATCTCTGAATTGAAAGGAAACACCTCAGTACTTTTTGTCTCACAATACCAAAGTCACAAATGTTCCGCTTGTTTCAATGTTAGGCGATGATTATAATTTTCTTGACCAAATTTGTACAGCTACTATAAAGTGAAGCTCACAGTCGAGTCTACCAATGCCAATGCACTTCTAGAAGCAAGGAAGGAGCTGGCTGATAAAATGCCTAAAGGTAAGCAATGTTTAACTCCTTTACCCACTGGCTGATGCTGATAAATTGCCCAAAGGTGACACTGCCTTCCTTCCTTACTAATCTTAATTCTGAACAAAAGGGATTTCCGGTTAGTCTGATTTTTACTCATGATCTCTATTTTAAAATATTTTTTAAAGCCCTTAAATGTTAATTAATTATAACAACAAACTGAAGACAAGTGTTCAACAATGTTAACAAAAATAGATTCATATATATCTGACCAGAATATGGCAGATAAAGGATTAATACTACTAACACAAGCATGCAAGTTATTATTTTTATTATTACAGTGGTCTTATATAGCACGGTACCCCAGCCCTAATCGCGCTTAACATAAAAATATTGGCAAAAATAAACATGACGTTAAATAAAATTAAATTAAATTTAAGATGATAAAAAAACTTTGGGTTTGCTTTATCAAAATCAGGCCATTGGGAAGTTGCGTTTTGAAATTGAGAGTACCGTGACATGTGCTGGATTACCCATAGATTAGCTGGTCATGTAATGTGACCAGGACAGGGATAGGCTCATTTGGGACTGGACTGAACCTTTTTTTGCTCAGTGCCCCCTAAGGCCCCAGTCCGGCCCCGACTGTAAATATTTGGTCACAAGGCATTGTACCAGGCAACTGCTGATGTGTTGCATTATTGGTAAACAAGTGAAAGCAGTAGGAAATGTAGTTTTAACAAAAATAAATAATTCTCATTCTCATCAGTCCTCAGACAACTTGTTTCTTATTTTAAATTTGTCCTTCTGGGGCCTATAATGTTTTATTGTTCATCTCTAAAAAAACAAAACAGGAACAGTTGTGTTGTTTGACAAGGACCCCATTGCCTCGGCAACAGAGAGTGTTTACAAGGTCATTGCTGACCCCAGCTCCTCTGACCACTATGTGGCCTGCGTGAGACAAGCTGTTGAGACTTTGGAAACTGCACTGGACAGATATGCGTAAGAAAGCTGGTCCTCATTAGCTGCCCCACCGTCCTCACAGGCTTGGTAATAAATGTGCATTTTAAATATTGCCCTCATATTTGAAGGAGCTCACAAAGCCAATGTGTAGCCCTTACACCTATAGGAGCTCACCAAGCCAAATTGTAGCCCTTACACCTATAGGAGCTCACCAAGCCAATGTGTAGCCCTTACACCTATAGTAGCTCACCAAGCCAATGTGTAGCCCTTACACCTATAGGAGCTCACCAAGCCAATGTGTAGCCCTTACACCTAGAGGAGCTCACCTAGCCAATGTGTAGCCCTTACACCTATAGGAGCTCACCAAGCCAATGAGTAGCCTTCACACCTGCTGGAGTTCACTAAGCCAATGTATAGATCTTTTCTAGCAACAAAACATTTCACAGAGTGTTGGATTTGGTTGAGACAATTACTGACATATGTAAAACATTTTTGATTAACGTAAGATTAAGATTATCTCTCTTCTTATTGTTGTGAAAATAAAATCCCCATTCATCCCTGATCTAGCAGCAGTAGACATTAGTCCTGTTGCTGTGTGGGGAAAGAAAGGTAAGGGGTGTTGGTTAGTGGGAAGGGATGAATGCCTGGCCTCATGTTTAGTCCAATTGATTTTATAAGAACAATTCTAAAAATTTTATCTTAACAGGGTTTATTAAATTAATTGACACAATCATAAAGATATTTAAAAAATTCTCATTAAAAAGCTTTTGTTTTAAAAAAGTTGGCAAAAAAAAAACAGTCAACCTTTTAAGATATGTTTCCAAAATACTTTAACCCCTTTTTCATTGTTTCAAATATGCATATTTTCACACAGACTGTCAGATATATGTATTGGATTCAATGGAGGCAAAGACTGCACCATTCTTCTTCACTTGTTTTATGCTGTTGCAAAAAAGTAATTATACATTTTGTATAATGATAAATCTTAATATAGGATTTTTAGCTCCCAAATCAAAATGTTTGGGTGAAAGCTTGAATAAGGATTGTTTTTACTTTGTCTCATTTTTGATTGAGATCCCAAGATAGTCATTTAAATATGAGTTCTCTCATAATGGTAAGGTGATAATATCATTTCAATGTTTTTTTAAAAAAGCTTCATATAAATTTTCATTCAATTCTAATTATGATACTTGAGATTTGGGTGTGGGAATGGCATTTGGGGAAGGGGGTTCAGTGGTTGTGTGTGTGTGTGTGTTAATATTAAAATTCATAAAGAGGCTTCACATATTTACAAAACTGTTTAAAAATCATATTCTTTAAAGGCACCTGGTCCTGTAGAAAAAAAAATCTTTTTGTTTATAATTTATATTTATGTTTAACTTTGCAATTAAAATAGGTTTGTACGCTTTCTTAATTATTTTTAAAAAAAAATATTTTCACCAGGAAATTTCCAAATTTTGATCACAAGCTTCAGGCATTGTACATCAGGAGTAGATGCCCCTTTCCTGAAGTAGAAAAGTTTGTTCAGATTTCCAGAGACAGGTCAGTTGACCACTAAATAAGTCTTAGATTTGGTTTGAGATAGGTCAGTTGATCACTACTTAACTCTTAGTTGTTCTGCCTGTCACAATAAAACACATGTAGAAAATGTGTTGCCTGTCACAAAAAGGCATGTAGCAGATGTGCTGCCTGTCAGAATAAAACATGTTGAAAATGTGCTGTATGTCACAATAAGACATGTAGAAAATGTGCTGTCTGTCACAATAAGACATGTAGAAAATGTGCTGCCTGTCACAATAAAAAATTCAGGCAGGAAATTGTACTGCTTTTAAAATAAGCATATTTAAATTAAATGCCCATCTAAAAATGAATAAAACTAAGGATGTCATCAATAGCATCATAATAGATTAGAAGGTCTACACCTAAGGCTAATGTCATTAATAGTATCATAATAGAAGGTCTACACATAAGGCTAATGCCCAGATAACTTAATGATGTCACCTATGCTGCTGCCTTACAATTACAAGTAATTTGCATATAACCCTCTAGTGAGGGATTTAAAACTGTTTATTAGATTTGCCCCCACCCTGCACTGGTGTGTTGCTGTTTTATAAAGAAACAAAAGTTCTCTCAACTTAAACACATGTTTGTGTTGCCACATACTTGTACCTTCAGGTACAACTTAGAAATGATTCATTATGATGGGAGAATAAAGGAGTGCTTGGCCACCCTGGCAACCAAACACCCCAACATGAAGGCTGTTATCATGGGAACAAGGGGCACTGATCCTTGCTCTAGTAAGTCAAAATAGCATCATTGTTACCATTCCTTTTTGAGTCAAATGAGCACCATGTCATAAATGAGGTTTGTAAGAAGAATTCAAAGAACTTAAAATCATTAAACCGTTTCAAAAATGAATTAAACAAATTCTCTGTCAGGAATTTTGAGATTTACAAAAGGGCTCATTAAAGAAGTAAACTGCATTTTGCTTGAGAATTTGAGGGCTCATTTTGTTGAAAGACAATTATTTATTTGTTGTTGAGTGGACCAAAACGTATTTATTCTTAAGAATTTAAGTGCAGTTTTGTGTGCATCCGTATAGTACTAGCCATCTGTAGTATCAGTACCGTTCGTTGGTATGTGTTTGCTGTATTTGAATTTATTATGTAAACGTTCACAGACTAAATATTAAATTTAAAAAAAAGCTGTCTCTAGAAATTTATATAACATTCTTCCACATCTTGCCAGAACATTTGACAGAATTCTCAATGACAGATCCCGACTGGCCACAATTTATGAGAGTTAACCCCCTTCTAGAATGGCATTACAAGCATGTGTGGAGATTTTTACGAGAACTCTGCCTTCCATATTGTAGCTTGTATGATAGAGGGTGAGTGAAGATTCACTATTACTATTATGATGTTTGTTCCTGTTTTAAACAATAAGTGTCAATTAAAAATTTAGCCTTTAACTTTACAAAAAAGCTATGCCATACATATTTCATGCCCAGTTGTCAATCGATATTATTAGTATTATAACAGTGACAGCCTTGCTTTGTGGGCCCCGAAAATTTGTAAAAATTAGTGTGCCTTTTTGTGGTCCATCGATTAGCAGACATGATTTTCACTTTTAAGTTAATGAATTCAAAATTGCTACCAGATAGAATTTATTCCATTATTCCACTTAATCCATTCTCAGCAAAAATTTTGCACACTTCATTCTCTCTCTATTTTCTGACTTTACTAAACCCTTTGTGAAACAAGGAAAGCCAATGCTGTCTCCACTAGTTTGTGTTTCATATACATAGCCCTAGAAGTAAGCTCACTATAATTTATTATTCTGTGTTGTATGTTGATGGCTTCTTGTGGTTTTTTTTTCAGTTACACATCTCTGGGAAGCATGGATAACACACATCCCAACCCCTTGCTGCAGTATATTGATGAAAGAGGGGTTCTCACTTACAGGCCTGCCTACCTTTTAGAGAATGGAGAGAAAGAGAGAGATGGGAGAAATAAGTGAGGGAAAGAGATGTATGTCAGAGTTATTAATGCTATCCAAGATAAACACAGAGCTACATGATTACATTGCCTGCCTTGACTGACCATGATAATGCACTCAGTGATGTGGTGCATCACTAGAATGGTGCATTTAAACTCTATTATTTGTAAAGATTTTTGGGACTGTTACCTTTCGGTTATACTATGATATTTGGCATTAATTAATGTTATTTTCAAGTTCTATAAATATTGTTGGATCATGATATATTTTAATTTTTGAAATCAAGGGGAATTAAGTGACATCCCCTGTAACTGTGACCTGGTACAATATCAAGATTCTGGAATATGTTTTGTTTGAAAATGTTTCAAACTTTTAGCGTCTTATATACAATGTCTCCTTTGTGGAAGTTATTTGCTATATTTCACCTCTCAAGGATATTGGGAAATTGGAACAAAAAAATTCAAAGAACTCTATACAAACAGTCCACAAATAAAAGACAAACTGGGGAGGCAAGTTTATTTAACTTCAAAGACTATGTTCTTTAATTCGGTTGGGCACTCTCCCCCCTTTAAAAAAAAAATTATTAAAACTAAAGAGGTATACCTGTACAAATGAGTTGAAATGTGAGCCGAACATTTATCATAATTTATGATATGCTGAAACACTACCCCAGGAACTGTTATAGTATAAACTGGCTAAAAAATCAAATCATTTTTTTAACTAGCATATAACATTCAACAATCAGATTTCAAGCAATGTGCAGCTCAGACATCATTGTCAGCAACAACAGTTTGTGTCCATCTAAATTATTAAATTAAAATTTTTCTTAAAAGATGTCTGAAATGTTCACTGTTTGCTCTGCTGCATTGTTGGTAGTATACTTCATTTCATTCTAATTCTTGTCAATGAAAATGATGATAAATATTTAGCAGATATTTGTTCTCTTCTATGTGAGTTAGCTTCATTTAAAATGGTTTTCCATTGCTCCCGTACATTGAATAAGTTAACCCTTTTCCACCCAAGAATAATTTCCTTAAAGTTTTGATGTTCTAAATTTTATTATAAAAAAAAATAATTTGTTGTTATTCCTTAATAAATTAACTTAAGAAATCAAAACATTAAAAAAACAGATTTTAAAAACACAATTTTATAAGCACCAAAAATTACAAAATTATTTTGAGTACCCGGTACTAAAGAGATTGTCGCTGATTACCTTTTAAATTTCAAGCTGTATGGCGTTCCAAACATGATCTCCATGTTTTAGAAGCTAAAATTCTGAATCTGAATGTTCTTATAAGTAACACCCCACAATATTAAAGAAAAACACAAAATGTCAGAAAAAACAGTCTCCATAAATGTTATTCTACCCTTAAATTAAGGTTTTATTTCTTGTAGCACTTCCATGTTTGGCTCCCACACTTTGAATTTTGTAGACATGATCCATTGAATGAAAATCAGGGTTTGTCTCAAAAAATTATTTTGTGCTTTTTAGTGCATTTTAATAAAAGCTTATTTTTAAAAAGTTTTTTCTTATTTTGTACTTTTATTCTTTATGATCATCACTTATGGCCGGGTTGTAGTTGTATTGTCATCTGGGGTGGATAAGTGTACAGAGTTTCAGCTCATTGGATTTCAGGAAGTGGGTCAAAATTAAGAAGCAAGATTCGACCAGCAGATATCACTCAAGGATCAATGGAGATCACTGGTGATCTACTGATCATGTCGGGTTGTATTGTAACCAGGACTGAGTTAACACGCAAAATTTCAAGCACATCAGACGATAAGAGTATAAAAGCCATTAATTTAGCTACTAACCGTAAGCAGAGCCAATATTAAACAGACTTCAGTTAGACAAAAATGTATTATGAAAGTTGGAACTTTAAGAAATAGCAATGGCATAATTAGCATTGCATTTTCTTCTTTTTTTTAAATGGAAGCAAAAAAAAAAAAAAAATTTTAAAATCTGTTTCAGGATTAAAAATGACTATTTTAAGCTTGGCTTGTTTCTGTTGTATATTTTCTGTCTGTTATGAGTTGTGCTTTGAAGGAGACATGATAAACAGCGAACTCTTAAATACACATGCTCAAAGAAACCACTCACTCTCTTAATTAAATGAAAGAACTAATCCAGTTGTAGATGTGCAATATTTTAATTACGCTGAAGACAAGTATGATTTGAAACAGAGCATTTCAATATGTTCAACTGATGTCGTAATAATTCAGCTTCGTGAGGAAATAGCATTATAGTTACATATTTTTTTAAATCTTCATCCTCCTATAAAAGAGCAAAATATCATTTTAAAATTTGCTTTCATGAGAGAAACTTGAACATCAACCCTAAGGCACAAGTAGGAATAGCTCAGGCCAACAGGTGTTTCTATCAAACTTATTTACATTTGTCTATTCCAGCATTATCCCTACTAAAATTCTGTGAGTAATCATACACAAAAAAAAACCAAAAATGGAAGAACTTTTTTGTACAAGTTCAAGCCAATTATTGCTCTTGTACTTGTAGTTGCAGATAATTTGTTTTGATTAGTTGAATTATATTTCTTGTCTGATTTACTTTGTACCGGTAGTTAATGTGTAAAAAAACACCTTTATTTTTACATCAGCTTGTTTCCATTTATATCCATGCACTGCTGCACCCCTTGAATCTTTTGCAACACACCTGTGTATAGTCACACACATCAGTTAAAAAGCCAGGGGTGGCATTTCTATGATCAAAAAGTTTAAGCAAATGCATCCAAGACAATCTCAATGAAGTCTTATACAAATAGAAGAACAGAAGGCTCCTAGAGAAAAAACACAACAACGAGCAGCATTTTTTAGCATAATGTTTTCCATTACTGTGAACATAGGTGCCCCAAAATTTACAATTTCTTTAATCATTTTCTGAAAATGAATTAGTTGAGTTGCAGTGTCTCATGAAGGCTGCAAGTACTGGGTTGATTGCAGGCAAAAAATTAATTGAACACATTTTTCTGTTACACTAATCCTAGTGTTATATTGTATTTGTCAAATAAATTAGAAAAACTTGAGTGCGGTTTAATTTATGCTAATGCTATGATCTGAAACATTACCTTGCATATGCATGGGGAGCTCCTGTAGTTAAGTAAAAAAAATATGTGATGTTTTGACGGCTCTTCTTTTTCACTAGACATTTTTTAAGGTTTTGTCTCACTCTCTCAGAAATTAAAGAAAGATTCCTCTTCAGTCTTAGCCTCACCACCTCTCGCACAGTCATCAAGCTTTTCTGTTTTCTGAGTGGCAATCTTTTCTACTTCCTGTGTGGCACTCTCTTCTGTATTCTCTTTTTGTTCCTCCGAATTTGGAGGCACTTCATTGACCTTGGCCTGAGCCAGTTGTAACTCTTCCTTATCATGAGATTTTTTATCACTATCCCAGAAACTAAAGAAAGATTTCTCTTCCGTCTTAGCATCCCCTCCTTCCGCAACTTCACTCTTCTCTGGTGGCTTTTCTGCTTCCATTTTCTTTCTCTGTTCATCGTATTTTGAAACCACTTCAATGACCTTGACTTGAGCCAGATGGAGTCTCCCTTCAGCCTCTTGTGACCTTTGCCTGATTTTTTTTACTTCCAACAGGGCACTGTGGAGTCGTTCACTGGAACTCACAGAGGCGTACTCTGACCCTGGAGAATCGGGGCAGAAGAGTATGACCTTGTCACATGACCAATGCAACAGGGCAATATTCTTAAATTGTATAAAATTTTTTAAATAAATCTAAATTTTCATACATAAATTTAATCCAGACCTTTTCTCTTTTTTTAATTATTTAAACGTGGGAAAACATTCATAATTTATTATCATTTAAAATTTGTATCATCAATTCACCTGATGCATAAGCAACTTCTGCTGTGGCATCTGCCAGCTTTTCTGCACTTGAGAAAATCAGAGAAAGATCCTGCCATTTGGAAATGACATTAAGAATAATCAGCAATTTTGGATGTCAAAACTCACAAATGATTTTGTTTTCATTAGAATTTCAGTTAAAATGACTTGAGGCTACATGGAAAAAAACTGGAAGATATCCTCTTACATCTTAGTTTTATAAGCAAGGAAACGTAACAAGTTCATTGCCAATTCGAACTGATCTTGTTTAATATAGATGATTACATGAATGTTGAAAAAAAAAAAATTCAGTCTAATGTTGTCAAAAGGTCAGAGCAATCCAAAGTAAAATTTTAGACCCTCATCATCATAATTTTTTAATTTATAAATTTGACAAATAAATATAACAGTGGAGATGCAATGAAATTTTTTTTTTACATTTTTAAAGAAAATAACCATGTTCATATATTATTGACATGATGTAAAAAAAAATGAGTATTGCAGAAATAAAGCAGTAAAGAGCATAGTCCCTCTTGCCCATCTTTATAATTATGTTCATTATCTTCTCCCTTTACCATAATCATATTTTTTTTAGTTTCAATTTTTTTAAAACCTCATTTCCTGGCGGATTACAAAACCTGTTAGGGTGGTTCATGATATCTCTCTTCATGTCTGGTCATAGTTGGGAAGATCGGTGGAATAATGAGAGACCCGCAAGGCAAAGATAATATGTAAGGGCAGACTTTGAATTTGAAAGGATTACCCGGGCATAGTATCTGAAGAGACTTTTATCGAAACTTGTTTTCTGAAATCTTGAAACACTTAACTATTTGTTGGCTAAACACACCTGCTTCCTTTTGTGAACTTCAGTGATTTCATGCCTGGCTTCCAAAATAAGATCCCCCATTCTCTGCTCTTCTGCTTCATGGCCTAAAACCTTTAGCTGATATTCCAGAAGGGTTATGAGGACATCCACTAACTGAAATGTTGAATGCATCATTTCAATGATAAATGGACACTTATGTTTTTTACTGGCAACAAATTTAGGTCACAGAGTACAACAAATTTCGGCAAGCTTAGGACTACAAATTTGCAGATGATTAATAGTTAAGTGTCTGTTTAAACCTAACTGCCTCACATATTTGGAAATAACAGATTTCTAATATAAATTTAGACATAAACAAACCTCAACATACTGCTGTTCTGAGTCTATCAATTGATACACTATTTGTGACAGCACTGCTGAAGTTGCATCTACTGCGAGACCCACAGCATTTTTTAAACATTGTGAGCTGCTTAGCTTGGGATCATCCAGTTCAAAGGTCTAGCAGAAGGGAAGTAATTAAATCATTAAAAGCCAACATGGAAAGAAATAGTATGTGATAAGGAAAAAAATAGCATCAATCATCCTGTCTATTTGTCTATTCTATGCTCATTATTTAACATGGGGGGGGGGTCTCCCAAATTATCTTGGGCATACACCCTTTGTAAAAAGACAGAACTGTAAATAAACTGCAGACAAAATATTATTGACTTAACATGTTGGTTTGTAAATTTATTGCTTAATAAATTATGTGGTACGCATTAGACCGGCAAATGGGTATTTATTTCTGGACGGGTAGCCAGATGTTTTCTTGTGAATATATGCTTGTCACTGTCTATGTCAATAAATCCCTGACTTAACATTATACAGCGAAAAACTGATTTACACGATGGCAGAAATTCAGGATAGGGAAGAATTTTGAAATATTTTGACAGGTTCTTTAATGTGGATACTCGTTTAAATGCCGTTCATTCATATGCCAGTCAAAAACATGCACTAAACTAAAACTAAATTCAAATCTGTTTAGGATACCACATGATATGATATTGCTCACTTAAAAATTAGGCACTTACAAACAAACATATTCAGATCAGAAGTCATAATTTAAATTATTTTTACTTTTTATTAAAAATTAGACATTTTATTCACTGGTGTTAGACACAGCACAATGAACTTGAACAATAATTTGCGATGGACAAGAGATTCATGCTCTCTAGATGGCCTATTATAGCCTACAATTTACAAAAAACAAGTGATTTAACTTTAATTTGAGGTGATTCCTTGTGAAGTGTGTAAATTTTACATTTACTTTGCCAGTAATTTAATTAGCCCACTATATGACTTTCTAATAGGCTGCTCCTCCAGTTTTTCATGTTTTTAAAAAAAATTCCAGACATATCCAGACAGACATTAAAAAACTGAAGTAATTCGGCAGGGTGCTGTAACATCTTGGTATAATATGCATTACCCATGACTAAATATGTTATTGTTTTGGGGCACCCACAAGAATTTTGATGAGCATATGCAATGATTAAGAAATATTCAATCCCCCCCCCCTTTTTTTTTTCATACTGTAATGCCCCATTGACATCAGATTTCACATTTATATGATGTATACAGATTTTATTTTAAAAAAAATTCCAGACATATCCAGACAGAAATTAAAAAACTGAAGTAATTCGGCAGGGTGCTTTAACATCTTGGTATAAAATGAATTACCCATGACTAAATATGTTATTGTTTTGGGGCACCCACAAGAATTTTGATGAGCATATGCAATGATTAAGAAATATTCAATCCCCCCCCCCCTTTTTTTTTTCATACTGTAATGCCCCATTGACATCAGATTTCACATTTATATGATGTATACAGATTTTTGTGTCTCTTTTTGTATCACCAAAAAATTCAAAGTTGTTATATATTAATAAAACTTATATCATTAGAAAGGACTCAGTATTTCCTTTCCATTGATACCAAATTTATTTTTTCTATCTTAATTAGAAAAAAAGACATTGCATTTCTAGTGTCATAATTTTTCCTTGTATAGCCTTAGTAAATAATTTCCAAAATACTGTGACCGAAAATAGTCCTCTTTGACACTCAAAACGCGATAACTTTTGAGTCAGCAAAGTTAAAGCTCTGAAATTTGCAGCGCATTTCAATTAAGTATTGGGATTCAATAATAAATTATTATTAATTATATATTACAATAAATATATTAATGCGTGGGATTTGAGCAACAGAGGGTACGTAAATTTCATTGAAAATGTAGCGCCTGTTTTCAATACTCAAAATTCCATAACTTTTTTAATTATAAAGTTAAAGCCTTCAAATTTTCAGCGCAGTTTAATTAATATTGGGCTTAATAATAAATTATTATGCAATATTATAATAAATTTTATTAATGCGTGGGATTTGAACTACAGAGGGTAAGTAAATTTATTGTTTAAAAAATTTGATGTGTTCAACACTCAAAATACCATAACTCTTTCCCTTGTTAAGTTAAAGCTTTCAAATAGTTTAATTAGTTATTGTACTGTATTAATAAGTATATTTCATATTAATATTGAAATAAATTTATTTAATTTGTGGGATCCAAGCAACGGAGAGTAAGTAAATTTAATTTTAAAAATTATTCTTTTTGTGAATTAAAAATACAAATTGCATAAATATTACCAATCCAAATTATTGAATTAATGAAATTAAAGCATACTATCATATAGTGAATAATTCCAAAGAATAGATTTATATAATAATGAATAAGTTGCATTAAAAAAATGTTGATTACAAATAAATGATAAATACCGATATGATGATCCAATCCATGAAATTAATAATCCAAGTATCCGTGCTATAAGAAATCCACATTACAAATGATGATCACTTAACACTATTATACACTATATTATTTACTTTTGTAGCTCATTGAATGACTTAATAAAAGTGATACATTTTCTTTCATGGAAAGATGATAGTAAAAAAGAATGTGTTTACCGAGTCCGTGGCCATGGCAATCTTGATCAAATTTGCAACAGTTGTGGATGCCATTTGGTATAGTAATGATTCAGTTTATAACAAAGATTAATGGTTTTCCAGACATTGTTTACTTTTGTGTCAATGTTGTTGATGCCACCCATATACAAAATGCCAAATAAATGCAGTTGATGGTGAATAATATCCATAGTTGTTAAAGATTATGCTGTGGTCATCCATATTGTGGTGGATTGTTCAGTTGGACATTAAGTCATACCTGATAGACCTTAGTTAAAACAGGAAAGACCAGTACAACTGTACTCCAGAGAAATATCAACAAAAGTTTTGTTGAAGCAATACTTGGCACAGCCGGGCAGTCAGCACCTCTAAGCAGGAGAGGCATTATGTTCCACAAACTCCCTGCAATTCAATGTTGGTCTTGTAGTCCAAAAACTGAAATAGAGATAGAAATTCATTTAATTAAATCACAAAATATGCATTTTAACATAATTAACAAAAAGTATGTTTTATTTTTATTTAATTTTAATACTATTTAATTTAAATTTAACATTGTGTATTCCAGTGTGATAGTTTTAAATTACCGTATTTAATGAAGGCAATGATGATTTTATTGATCCTGTCTATCCTGTGTAGGTACAGTAGTCCTCAAGGGTGATTAAGGTAGTCCTCCAGTGTTGTCATTTCTGAAAAATGTAAATTTTATGGCTGTAAATGTTTGATAGAAGGTTTACAAATTCTATGAAAATTGAATACATGTATAAAGAGATCACTTGTCTTAAAATTATTTATAATGTAGACAGTTACTTACACTTCCCACAGCGGCTGCTTAACTTTATACTTTAATACCACTGCTTTCTCCTTGTCTACAGAAATCGTACGTCCCCCAATAGCATGTCTGTCAACAATTCAGTTATGTAGACTAGTGTTATATCCTCATAGCAGTCCTCTCCCATTGATATCAAAAGGTCTGGTTGTAGCTTCAAACTGCTCCAGACACACCTTCATGAATGGTCCCTAAAAAAACCATTTATTTAAAATGTATAGAAATCACAGGTTTAGCAAATATTGGTACTAATTCAGTGTATGACTAGCAACTAGAAGCTGGTACAAACAAATAGATTACCATTTCCAGATGAGCTCTTCCAGCTTTGTTCTGGTAAAATAGAGTCATCCATGGTCCTGACAGCACTTTTCCAAACAAACCTGAGCAAAGAAATTAATACAAAAAATTAAATTACCGGTATGAATCTTTAAAAAGTTTCCAAAACTTTTAAAAAGACAACACGCTATTAAAAAATACATGGAGAATTATACACTTAGCTAGTATTCTGAGTTGAATAATACTATGTGGATTCTCCAAATCCTTCAGGATTGCGACTGACATCTTAGCATCTCCTTTGTATTTTGACAGAAATTCTTTTAAAATGTCTCTCAAATGATACACAGTGCCTGCTAGATGAAACAGCACATGCATTCTGTTCCCCACATATCTTGTTATAACTCCAGCGGCTAGGTTTTTTAATTTTAAAAAAGCACTGAAACCTCCCGGATCTCCGGATTTCATCTTGTACCTTTAGAAAATTAATAGGCATACATTTTACAAATTTTTTTTAAAAATCTGTAAAGATGTGGTTGTGTGTTTATGTGTGATTGATATAATTTATATATAAATTATAAAGAAAATGAACTGTTCAACACCCACCTGAGCTTGGAAAAGAGTAGAGTAAATTGGCTGCTCTTCCTTCGGATCCAAATAGTCCACTATTAACTTTAAATTCGTTATCCAATTTCTTCAAGATTCTTCGAGCTTGGGAAGCTATACCTTCAATGGGATGCACATTGCAGTTTAGCTCCACCAACTCTGTACTTAAAAATGCAGACAATTCTTGATTGACGCAGTGATTTACTGCTGCCCTGTCAGTGAGTGTTGAGGCAAAACAATTTCTGAACTTGTGCATTATTATTTGCTGTTGTATGTTCTTGTACAAAGCAAAAGTAGTTGCAAGGTTCTGTATGGATGTTGTAATTTGCCCAACATATAATTCTGTTTTACCACTTGACAGTGATGAAAGCTTCATCATTAATTGCTGACCATCAACAGCTATCTGACACTCATTGACATGGCAGCTTTCTTTTGTTGTAGCATCCCAAGAAATTGTTGCAGTGCCATCTAGCGCATTGAATAAATGCTCCCCTAACTGCAAATCTGAAATAGCTCCCACCTCATAAGCCATTTGAGGTGCTGTAGACGGTCCAGGTATACTTGACACTGTCCGATGGCAGAGCTCTTTAACTACAAATTCAAATATAGGTCCAGCCTTCTCTATAGCAACTTGGTTTAAAAGGCACATGTATATGCATTTTCGAATTGGAACACTATATTGTTTTCTCTTGTGCTCCATCTCAGAATCCCCTAAAGTTGTTACAATTGTAGCAGTGTTGAACCGCTTCTCCAATTCTTTTACCCTAATCATCAAACAGCAAGCTTCCAAGTACAATTCCTTTATTCTTTCCTCCTTATCCTTGATTATATTTTTCAATTCTAACATTTTTTCTTTTAAAAAATTGCACTCCTTTTGGTTTGAATTCTTTTCTCAATTTTTCTAGGAGGGGGAACATCTGATTTAGATTTTAAATAATTGAGCTTTTTCTGTAACTTTAAATTTTCTTTTCTTAATGAAAACTTTTCTTGTCTCAACTTGTCCCTTGTTGCTGCATTTCTTTTAAAATTGTAATTGACTCTTTTAACATCAAAACGCCTTGAAATGTCTTTTGCTAAATTTTTTGAGGCTCTAAGTTTGGACTTTAAATCAGAAATGGTAGTCATAAATGATTTTCTTATTACTGGGCACTTATTAAAGTCTCTTTTGAGTTTCATTTCCGTCTTTTCTTTAGTACTTTCTTAATTTTCATTAGAAATGACAGTGAAAGCTTCAGGTATTGGTTCTATCTTATTTACTGACTTTACTACTGGTATCCTAAAAGGTAAATTAAAAACTTCAGTAATTCGATTCCAGTATTTGTTGATGCTCTTCTTAAATATTTGAACTTCTCTAGTCAAGCGTCCTAATGCCGAGTTTATCCCTATGGCTGTACATTCATGACCTCGGGCTGTCAAGATTTGATGTAACATGTGTGATGTTTTAACATTATTTTTATTATGCGTAAGCCAGGTTTGTAACACATATCCATTACGGATCATTATTCCGTCATGGGATATGAATTTACATAAATAAGCCTTGTAATCTTTATTAGTCCTTATTACAGATCGCCCATCCACTGGATTGGACAGGCATGAAGCAATGGTAGTGCTAGAAGCTCCTCCAAAAAGTGGGGGTGACATTCTTGTATAATTAAAAGAGAGAAAATGCTGAAACGGGTAATAAATAATTTTGTTATACAAAAAAGTTTCAAATTTAATATGTTGAGCTAAAGCATTAAAGCTTTAAGTTGAAGGCAATAAATTAAATAGGGTATGCAAAAAGAAAAAAAGAGGGACAGATTGTTTAGAAGACAAAAGTAAATAAAATTGTGAAACTCAAAGAAAAAGATGATCATGATGTTCAGCAGCTACCGAGCCTATTAACTATTATTTATTAATTATTAAGATAAATTATATCATTATCCTATGGCATTATCATTTATATATTCCACAAAAAAATAATTCCCAGATGTAAAGGTATATAATTATTACAATTACAACATAGATTTAGATGACTCAAGTTCATTTAGTTTTGACATTGCTATCATAGTGATCATAATTTTTTTTTCTAAATTTTTAAACTAATCAAATATATAATTTCATAAAATACGCATAAATTTGTGTTCAGTCATGAAATTCAAACAAATTTAATAACTTAAATTAATTGGATAGCTTCTAAAAGCATTGGATTTATATAGATTTTAAATATTTCTTATGCAATAAGAAGAAGAATAACAATAGTGACAACAGAGAATGGTTATCACTTCCGCTTCATTTGGCCTAATCGATAACTGGTTATGAATTATTTTCAACTTTACACCCTGTCTATACAATTTTCGGCCTATCTAAATGTCATTATGTTTCTTGTTTCAGTTTGTTAAATCGTTAATACATCGAACACATAAAAAATTAAGTACAACAGGATTATGGTTTCCGAAAAATAGTGCTAGCAAACTTACCTGTTTTCTCAACAAAAGATATCTGCTATAAGTGCTGCAAGTCTGATTAAAAAGATTAGATCGCGATGATCGCTCTCCTCGTGTGCACAAAATAGGCAACAATAAGTTCATTGACTCTTCTTTATATAGACAAAGGAAACCAGATCTCCAAGTGAAACCGGTCGCCGGTTAATGGTCTGTTTCTCGCATCCCAAAAATCGACCGGCGCACGCCTTAGTGAAGTCGCTACTTTTTGTCATGCATAGCATCTGAGACTACACAATGAAAGGGACTTGATGCATACTTGAGGGACACAAGAAAGCTACTACATTCACCTTGCATCTATGCTATGATGGTGGCATTGCTTCCCTCCATTACCCTTGACCCTTGCCTAGATAAAATTATAATTAATATCAGTACTGATGTCTACACAGTTAAAAGCCAACTTGAAAGGAAAAAAAAATCTAACAAGCTAAATATGTATCCCCATAAAACTATAAATTTTAATATCCCTTAGACCATAAAATGATAATAATTATAATCAAATTCAAAACCTTACAAATTTATCAAGTCAAGCGATAAAATAAAAGAAAAAGAGGAAGAGATAATCAGTTTAAAATTATTTTAGAATAGCAGCAATGTGTGTCCCCGGTTCATTTTGACTAAATGATATTCAGATGTCATTTGTGTTAGTTTATTTTAGTTAAACTTAAACTGAAGAATTAAGTTTACAAACATATAACCCATTCAATTATCTTTCATTGATACCAAATTTTATCTCACAAACCCAACAATAATATTTTAAACATTTTTTACTCCCATCCTCTCACTTCTGGTAGCCATGTCAATGTGCCAATGCCAATAGCCACTTCGTTTTCAAAAATTATGCCGCATTTTAGATTACCGGGATATAATATATTATAGTCTAATTATTATAATAACAGAAACCTTTGACGCGTTAAATCTGTGGGCTCCGCCACTGGACCCAGCAACAAGTTGTGGTTCTTTCCTTTCTTCATTTTCACTACTTTGAGTTGATGGTGCATCAATATTTAAACCGGGAATCGATAGCAAGAAAAATCTAATAAAGCCCGTCTTATTGAAACGTTCAATAATCGGTGGAACTAACTTTTCCTTTTGTGGAAAACTTATTAATTGATTAAATCTCGAAAAAACTCCTCTTGAGATGTTCGATCTTATCATCATACATGTCCGTAGTCTTAGCATGGTTACTGCGGGCGCCGCCATGTTTGTTTACAAGCGGTTAAACAAATGAGTAGGTGGGGGGGGGGAAGGGGGGGGGAAGCCACCGTACTTAAACGGCGGTGGTAAATCTAAAGGCACTCAAAGTAACATAACTTGTGAGCAAAAATGCTTAAAATATTTAAGGTGATAATAAAATAATTACAACACAATTATTTAATGAGTTAATAGACACTCAATTGTAAAAACAACATGAATTTTAAAAAAATATTTGATATTTCAACAAAATAAAAAAAAACTATTCTCTTTCCATTTTTTTTTAAGAGTGCAAAATGAAACTTTTGTTCAGCCTTAAAACTATTTCGACGGTGCTTACTCCAAGGTATGGGAAAATATAATGTTATTTAATAAAATTGAATGCTCACTTTCACTCGGTGATTTCGTTACATTCCATACCGTTTAGGGCACGTGACGAAGATTTTGCAATGTAGCCAATTAAATGCAGAGACGTCAGTGTGACTTTTTGAGGCTCCGTTCGACTTTTCAGTTTTGTGCCCCTAAATTCAAATATTGATAGCTCACCTATTTTCTAATTGACACCCCTTAAACAAACGAGGTCCCCTGCAGCCGCACGGGTTTCACGGCCAACGCGACAGTTCTGATTATACCACGTGGTTCTGTGTGAAGGGCTAAATGAACATGATGTCATCCCCAAAGGAGGCGCCGAATCATAATTTTTGTTCAAAATATGTGTAGTAATAGTTTTTGGGGAAGAAAGTATCTAAATAAAAGCTTCGTTCTGGGCGCATATTCTGCTTCCCAAGGCTCTGATAATATGTCTTATGATATGTCCATTATGTCAATGTCTATACACTAATGTCCCGTTATCATACACCCATAGGGACGCTTAGCTGGAGTGTTTGGAGCCCGGGGAGAAGATTCAATTTTATACTTTCCTTTAAATCTGAAACCAAATATTTTCATCCATTAAAGCCCACTTTGCGTCCCTCACTAGTCTGGTGTCCATTGTTATCTTTACCCCCTGCCCTTCCTTCGCTACACCACATAAAAAAATAATAATAATCAGGAATTTAAATATAAAAGATTTTGTGTGTGCTGTTTAGACCACTCGGCCACCAAGCGCACACAAAAGATTAAATTAACGTTTAGATTAAATATAAAATCATACAAGTGGCAGGTCATTCAATGTATCACTATCTCTCATCTGGTATCACCAGTCAGCTCCATTTCTTTTTTATGCATTAAAAAAAACCCTGAAAATGATATAGAAAACTAAAGGTAGAAATAAAACAAACAACCAAACCAAAAACTAGTATAAAAACCACAGAATAGCATCTAAATGAATAGCTCTTAAAGTTAGACGTCCGTATTTAGTACGGACAGTTGATATTTTCGACCCTCTTTTCCGTACTAATTTTTGCAACCGTATTTGTCCGTACTTTCCCCTAGTCGCCCGACTTGTCCGTACTTTTGGCAGCGACGACTTGCTTGTTTTGTTTACAATTTACTTATCTTTATTCCGCGGAAAAGCTAGCGCAGTGAATAGGTTTTCACCATTGTTTTGCTGCCCTCTCAGATACTCTTTTCAGTTGAGTGATATTTTTATTTTATTCTGTTTTTACTGCTGTTTGTTCGCTGCGCAGGAAATACTTCCCAAAAATGGTGCTAATTAATAGATAGAAAAATTGCCCCGGGGGCGGATCAGTAAAAGTAAAATGATTTTTTATGAGAATGGCGGCTAAACGCTTCTTGTACGTAAAAAAAGGGGTGGGGGGTGTCCACAAAGAGAAGTCAAAAACCGCCGGTATGGTTCCGGTTGCTGTGAGCCTTTGTATCCGTACTTGGCATCCAAAAAATCTGGTCAGCTTTCATAAAGGAAAAAAATGCTAAATTTTACTAAAAGGGACACCGCAAGAAATACGAATGTTTCTATCGTAAAAATTTTTTTAAAAAAATACATGCTTAGGATAACTCTTAAGACCCACAGAAATGTGCAGTCTTGTGTCGACATTGGCTAATACTAATAGAAACAAACTCCATTACGTTTGACACAAAAATATATGAAAACAGAATACGTCTAGGGCCATTTCCAAAATGTCTTTATTAAATAAAGATTTAACAAAGATTAACACTTGAACAAAATCAAACAAAAGCAAATAAAAAAATATTTAAAAACTTAAATGCTCAAATTAAACATAACCTAAATTATTGGCGTCTTTTCCCTCATGGATTATTGCTTAATTCAGTGAAACGATCAAAATTTTGTCGATCCAACATGAAAAAAACGCGACGACATTGAAATAGCGAGCCATGCTTTGATTCTTTCGGTCTCATCTGCTCATTTTTAGTGTCATCTGCATCAGCATCTGTTATTATTTTAGCGATGACTCGATTTTTTCCCATTATTTTCTTTCCCCTTTTCAGTATTTGATCCCTTGGGTTTTCCCTTTTTTCCAAGAAGATGACCAGAACCTTTTTTATGAACGGGTATCTCCGCTAAGAGGCTCAGGTCTTGGAAAGATTTCTCAAGTTTCTCATCGTCTAAATCCGAGATCGCCGCTGTTAATCCGTCATTTCCCTCCTCGTTTTCCACGTCTTCATCTTGTGACAACTTCATTCGTAGATTTTCCTTTCTCAGATCGTCAAGCGCTTCATATCTTTGACGCACCACATTTGATTCCAATCTCCGGAGTTCCATATTCTCGATCTGGTTCCATTTTTTGTAAAATTCTGAAGTCTCATCCTTGTCGGTCACATCTCCGAGCTCGTCGCCCTTCTTGTCCTCGACAGTTTCACCTCCATCACGCGTGCCGGACTTCACGGGGAGATATTCGAAAGGTTCCAGCTGCATAACTCCGTCAGTGTCTCTGAGTATATCAGCTTCAGCCGTTTCAGAACGTTGCGGGTTTTTAATTTTCTCTTCAAGTTCTAACAATGATGAAAATAATCTGTTTGAGTTTTCATAGCTTTTTTGTTCATCGATTTGACCCGTGAACGCGCTTTGGATGTTTTGAGCTTTGGTTGGAATCTCGTCTGCGTTGCTTTGGGGGATAGCGGGTAGCTGGCTATTTCTAGATTTCCCAAGAACCTTCTCAAGTGCTTCCTTCTTAGACTTTGCAATGGGTCGCTTGCTTTCACGCAAACCCTTTATGAAATCCTCGAGTGTTTCTACTTCTGATGCGTTTAGCTCGGCTGTCGCCAAGGGCTGATTACTCTTTGATACGGCCAGGGGTGACTGGGCTTCAACATCAAATAAAGTGGGATTTCTATCATGGTATTCTGCGATGTTTGATGGTTCAAATTTAACCTTTTTGATTTGGTCTTTTATAAATGATGGATCCATCACCATAGTCCCATTGCTGTCGTTGCGTTTAGATTCGGCTTCAGCGAGGTTTGTGGTCGCCAGTTGTTTAACGTTCATTGAGACTGAGTTCTTCGCTGTTACGACATCCTGAATGGCTGCTACTGGTACGTCTTTTATCACAATGTTTGATTGGCTCTTTTCTGAGGCGAGCATTGTTTGGTTGTTTGTTGACGTCATCCCAATGGCACCAAGGAATTTTGAGTACATAGAAAGGGGGTTGCTATTGTTTGCATCAATGTTCTGTTTGCTGAGTTCCTCATCTCCAGGCTGTGCGTTTGTTAAAAGGTGGTCGTTTGATATAAGTTGTTTGTTTGTTAGAAGTTGTTTGTCTGTTAGAAGTTGGTAGCGTTGTGGAGACTGGTTGTTTGTTGGAAGCTTAGAGTTTTTCGTCAGTTGAAATTCTGCTAGAAGTTGTTCGTCTGTAAGAGGTTTTTCGATTGTTGGAGGCTGAAACTTGATTTGATTGTTCTTGTTTTCCAGAGCTTGTTCGTCACTGACATCCTTTTCTTCTATATTAAACTGCTTCGTTTTAGTTCCATCTTGACGAAAATGATCACCCGACTCTAGTGGGTCTCCAGTTTCTAGTTCTTCCTTAAAATTCCCAACAGCCAGGGGGTCAGCGAATGGAAACACATTCTTTTCCAGCATCTCGTTTTGGGAACTGTTTTTTCTACTTTTCTCTTCTTCGGCGGCTTTTCGATCTGTTTCTTCCAGCCAAATTTGGCTGTTTTCTAACTGTAAATCATCGTCATCGTTATCAGCCCAAATGACGTCATGTTCAGGATCGTAACTCTGCATGGAACTGAACTCACTCATCCCTTCACCCATGCCGTAGCTTGACCCGGGCTCCGAAGAAAGTTCGTTTATGTCAGCAACTCTCGCATCGCTCATCTCCTTCTGTGCGCCAACGTTGCGCCGCTTGCGAGACCGATGCTGCTTTGTTGAATGTTGTTTCCTGGCTGTGGCATTTGAAACTCGTTTTTCATTTTCTCCCTGAACTACCGGTTTGTGTTCTTCAACGATCAACGATTCTTCTCGATATTGCTCTGGTGTGTCAGATTTTATATACTTGCTGTATAGTTTATTTTCATAGTTCCAGTTAGCTCTCGGAGGCGACTCGATTTCGTCTTCGTCTAGAAATTTTTTTCTGTTTTTCCTCTCGTTATAAGACTTGCCCGTCCGCCATAGCTCACCTTCTCTCCGATCACTCGCCTCGCCTTCAGTAGTTCTGTCACGCTTCCTGTCGTAATAAGACTCGCGCGTCCGCCATTGTGTACCCTCCTTCTGACCAATCGCCACGCCCTTAGAGGTTCCGCCACGCTCAACCGGTTTGGGGGAAGTCGTTGGTTTACTGACTTTCTTTGGAGAGTTCGTGGTCAATTGATTGCCTTTGATGTTGTTGTAGCCAACACTATAATTAATGACCGCGTCTCCGTGTTCAGGCGAGTCTGTGGAGCTCATATCTTGGTGTTCCTCATTCCATGTCGTTTCGTTTTGACGACTACTGCTACTGGTAGTGTTTAGACCCAGTTTACTTTGATTGTACGTATGCGGGATTTGGGTCGAAACCTTACGTGTTGTAGCATTCTTCGACTTATTCTTGATATTCATCATGGTGCTCATCTCTTCCAGGGATTCAGAGATCTCCCTCTGCAGCTCATCAATGTTGTCGATTTCCTTTAACTCCTTCTCATGCTCCAACCTCTCTCTGAGCCTTTCTGCCACCGTTTCTTCCATTATATTGAGTCGCTGCCTCATCATCTCTGCGTCGATGCCTTTAATTCTTGCATTTTCCATCGCCATCAATTGTTGACCGACAGCTTTCTTGTCAAGATTTACATCACCAGGAATTTTCAAATCACTATAATCGTCCATGTTATCCCTCAAAATTTGGTCAAAGACCTTCAGGCCCTCGTCAGCTTCGTCTCTCGTGGCCCCACCTTCACTCTCATTCACGATGTCTCCAATTTCAGTATCGATGTCAGAGTTGTCGCCAATGGGTTGACCTGTTAGCTCGTCTGCTCCACTCAGTCCCAGATTTTTGTCGACTGACCTCATTGCCATGTCCATGTCATTGTGGGGACCAATCGGTCGCTTAAAGTTGGTGAGCTCTCCATCGTGTCCTAAAGGTTTCATTAATGCAACCCCCAAATTCTTGTTATTTTTATCGTTTACATCGCCGACATCTTCCATCTCACCGACCGCTTCCACCTCGGCGACCCGTTTCAACTCTTGTGAGGCCGCATCGTCCGCTTCGTTCACCGCTTTCGACCCCGGCGAGAACAAATCTCCCGGGTCGTCGCTCAGGTAACTTCCATCGATGTCACTCAGGGTGTCCCCCATACTCGGAGGCACCTCGCCTTCCTCCGGTTTCGTCATGTCCATCTCGTCATACGAGACCTCGAGTCCGTAATCACTGAAATCATATTTGGACGTATCGGCGTACTTTTCCCGCCTCTTAACTTCTGCCTCGACCTTATACTCACTACCCCGGACAGGTTTCACTCTGGTCAAGTCAGGTCTGGCCGCACGTCGCTTGATTCTAGCCCACGACTGGACATTGTCATATCTTTGCAAACTACGATCTGTGAAATTTCTAGAGACCAACAGAGTTGCATTCTTTATATCAGCCCTCCTCATCCGCCGCTCATGGTTAATTTCTTTAAAAAACCGCGAAGTTGTGGAGCCCCCAAATCGACGTTTAGAGACCGATGATGAAAATGGACGAACATCGGATTCGCTTCTGTTCTTCCTCAAAGGGAATATTTGCGGTTTCTCCCGCTTGTCCCTGCTCAGTTTGGCACGAAACTTTAACTTTGTCAGCATTTTCTCAACCCCCTCCAGCTCCTGCTGGTCGCTCTTCTCCAAGAACTCGGCTTTCGTCTCGTAGGGCCCCGGGTCCAAGTCCAGATCTGTGAGTCTCTCATCCAAGAACTTCCCTTTCGTGTTGTAATCGAAGGTCTCAATCGAGGCGTCCTCGTCTTTGAAAACATCCGCGGGGCTCTCGACAGGGTCTAGAAATGGATCGTAAAGCTCTTTCTCCTTCTGTCTTCTGTAAGATTCCTTTCTGCTATTGACATTTGTCTTGGATCCCGGTTTGTCTGATACCGAAGATTCAAGTATGTCAGAATCTAAATATTCAGGTTTGTTAGAATCTGAAGATTCCGGTTTGTCTGAATCTGAGGCCAGACTAAAAGGTAAATTCAGACCCGCCTCGAATTCCCCATCCGCCGCTTCTTTCAGTTTGTACACGACTTCCTTGAGCTTGGCCGCCGTCTCAGAGGCCAAATCTGGGTCAACCTGCGTTTTGATTTTCAGGAACTGGTCCTCCTTGGCGACGATCTCTTTCTTGAACACCTCAAACTCTTTCTTGGCGGCGTCCCAGTTGGTCCCGTCAATCGACTTCTGACCACTGTCATCACTTTTGGCTTTCCCCGCCTTGGCCATCAGCTCATCACCCTTCTGCACGATCTGCTGAAGGTCATCCGATACCTCTGCGTATTTTGCCCCCGCCCTCTTGATCTCCGATTCCAGTTTTGTGGCCTGAGGTTTCAACTTTTGCCATTTCTCATAAAACTCTTTGGCCTTGTTTTCGTCTTGCAGGTAGAGGGGCAGAGGTGTCTTGGGGGAGGGCTCTGGTTTAACATTCAGTCTATCCTCCATCGCCGCTTCTGTCCCAGATCGTTTTACCCGCTGTTTCTGGTAATGGAGGTCCCGGGATTTCGCATTAGCCGATTCATCTTCGCCAGACACCTTGTTAAGTTCGCCTATTTTCTCCCAGTTGTCCCCAAGAAATTTAGACGTGAGATGCTCTATGTTTTCCAAAAGATTGAAATCCGCCGCCGTCGGCTGGCCACTTCTGGCCTCTGCCAGCAATCGTTCCTCGTCGTCTTCTTTGAGATCGATTTCCGAGTCTGAATCTTCGTACGCATTTGAATCGCTATAGAGAACATCAAAATTCTGCTGCACACCATTCCCTAGTTGCCGCTGCAGCGAATTCATTTTTAAACGCGTGCCCTCTTCTTCGGAGGAATCCGATTTGTGCTTTTCGATCAGCTTTGCCTTTTCACTGGCGAGTTTTATTAACTTGACCAATCTGGACCGGAAAGCGTCTGCTATATTTTTACTGGAATTTATTTCAGTTAAATTTCCATTTAGTTTCGTCACTCTTTCAGTTTTAACTAAGCCGCTGGGACTAGTTCCTCCAACTTTCTCCTTTTCGTGTTTCGGTTGTCTCCGTAAATTTTGTAGTTTTTCTCTGAAAAACTGTGGCGACAGAGCAGCGTCCTGCGCATTAATCCCTGCCCCATGTGGGTTTGCCTTGTGACGTAGATACTCATCGATTCCATCCTTTCCGTATTGTTCTTTTAACTTCTTCTCCTCGCTATTTTTCGGTATCGACTTTCCAGTGACGATTTTGTCCAGTATCTGATCAGTTTTTTCATGATGCGGACCAGGCCACCCCTTGGGTTTATTATCCATTTTGTTAATGAGCTTCCCGAGGGCATCAAGTCGCCCTTTCAGCTTGGCCATTGCCTCGCCAGAGTGGCTTTCTTGACCTGAAAATCTTTTACTCCGCGTGCGCGGTAACTTGTTTTTGGATACTAATTCAATTTTTATTGAAAATTTCGGTTGATTTTTCCCATCAGATCCAATATCGTGTTCTGAAGGCAATTGATTATGACCAGTGTAGACACTTTCATTGCTCTTTAGAAATGCACGTGCCTCATTGTCACCGGTATTAATTTGGCCAGCCATCTCTGTTCTCTTCAGCAAAAGATCTTCGTCTGGGAAATGGCTAATTTTCGCCATTCTCTTCTGGCGATCTTCTTCTTTTCTCTGTATTTGCGAACGTGGCTCTGAATCTATACTGCCCTCACTTTGATATCGTTCCGGCTTTAACTTGAATGCATTTCTCTGCTTTGCCTTCCCGAGAGCCTGGGTAGCAGTGTCTGGTTTGTGGTGCGCCGGCACTACCTTCCTACCAACAAATCCTAAGTTCTCCTCCATGAACTTGGAGAAGAATACCATTCTCAGTCTGAGATTGGCCATTTCTAAACGTCTGATGAAAGAAAGGGTTCTGTGTGGAAGCAGCGCCAGCCACCATATAACGTGAGACCAGCTACGTGATTTCGACTTCCAAAGGGACGCCAGTCGCTCCAAATAAATGTTTCGTCTGTTAGCCTCACCTCCCTTTAAACTGTGCTTCTCAACGGGGAAACCGAAGGCTAGCATCTTTTTTCGGCTCAATTCTTCATCTCGTTTTGAATTCACATCCCCCGACTTGCCATCAACTGGTAAGTTCATTTTTGAACTTGGTGCAGTCCTATCGACTAGGTCGGAGTTCTCAGCCACCTTTGACTTGACTTTATCTTCAGTCATTTCTTCAACACCATCCTCTGCAAGTAATTCAATCCTGCCAGACCCTTCCAGCGTATCGACCTTGCGTGCGTCAATTCCTGATTCCTCTGCTGCCGCAGCCTCGACTTCCAGATAAGACCGTTTCCCGTCACTGACCTTCTCCTCACTCAACGATTGTGATGGCGAGTGAGATGTGTCACTAACACTTAGCTCTCTTTGTTTGTTTACGCCTGTCTTCAACTGAACCAGATAAAGATTGTTGTCTGCGTTTGTCATTACCTCTGTAGCTTCTCTCGTTTCCGTCTCGTTGCGTCCGGGATCAGCAGGGACCTCTTCTGTTTTTTTTTCCACGTAACTCAACCCATCATGCGAGTTTGGGGTAGAATTTGCCCCTTCCCCCGGCGGATTGATTTTTACTGAGCGAACTAAGACTTTTGCCACGTGGACTAGTTCCTTAAATAGCCACCGTTTTACTTCAGAAACGATGTTGGGGTGGTTGGTTAAGAAACTCGACAACTGGAACATCCACGAGGAGATTGTGTTTCTGGCATGATCCACGCATGATACCAACCGCTGCTTGAACTTCCGGAAGAAACTCTTGATCCTCTCGACCAACATAAACTTGACTAAATAGCGCTCGGTGATGGTGATTTGAATTTTGGCCTGGCAGCGCGTCATGTTCTGCGAGTCGTCTGCGCACTCGATGCTGCCGTTCCTTATCGCCATGTCAGCACCGCCTTCACCGAACACCACCATCGTTGATAAGAAGTTCATCCCTCGTTTGGTGAGCCGGGCAAAGGTGTTTACAACCTCAGCGATGGGCTCATAGAACGCGCTCTTCGGCGAAACGCTGTCCAGTTTGAGTGTATCCAGCGTCGTGTTCAGACGGTCGACTTTCAACTTCTGGTCGGTGATCAGCTCGTGGAGAGTGTGGTTGGCGGTCATCAGAAGTGAGTACAGCCTGACGTATATTTCCAGTAGCTGGCTCTCGTTGAATTCATCAGCAGCTCTGGGGTGTCTTATTTGTACGTCATAACCAGCACGCGGTCCATGCGCGCTGTACTGTGCCGGCAAGGGAACGTGATCTGGTTTTGCTTCCTGGGGTTTTGGGGAGCGGTTAAAAATCCGTTTCCAGTACCAAAGTGGAAAACAGTGACACCGTCCATGCTGTGATTGGTCAAGATCTGGTCCTGAATGCTGCATTGTCTGAAATATGTGTATGTTCCTTTCTGCAGCACGCTTAATCCAATTATAGTGAGCGATAAGTTGGCGCCTTGAGTCAAAACGTTTCAAAAAGCCCCCTTTGCCTGCAGCTTTTTGATAATTCTTGATTTTTATCAAGATTTCGAAGGCCAGTTCTAGTTGTCTTTTCCGAAGGGCTACAGCAAAGCTCTTGAGCAAGTCGAAATAATTTTCGACAGCTTCTGTCATTTTGTTTTTGTGATGAATCGTTCGTCTAAGATCGTTTATTTGTGGGTTAGAATATCTGGCTGGCGTTGACCCCGCGTGACCATGTAATCTCATTAACCTAAAAAATTGGAGTCGTTCACGTCGGGGTAGTAGCTTAATAACTTCTTGCCTGAACCGCTTCAAACACGTTTTACAGTTTGTTACATTGAAACACAGCCTCATTAGTCGTAGCTCAGTCTCCGAGCTTAACGCTCTCATAGCTTGGACCCGCGAGTCAATACTGGGCGTTCTCGGATGTGAATCACCTGCTATTTGGAGAATGTCTTTCTTTACTAACGAGGTCGAAGCGGGTTCAAAGTTTCCATTCAAAACCTCCCTGCTCAGTTCGGTGTCGGCGAAACGACGTCGGAGCTGTATCCTTATCCTGTTCATCTTCCGGATAACATTGACGCCAAATCGAGGTGGTCGCAATCCCCTGCTCCAAACGATCCTAATCGCCCTCGTGTAGAGCTCACCAACTAGAACGTGCGCCCTGTTGTAATTTCTTAAAGAAACGGCCATACCGTTCATCTGTTCTCTGTCAACGCCGTACTTTGTGTAAACACGTCTCACATAGATCTGTTCGCCCCTGGACTGGTATCGGGATGATTCCACTGAGCCCCCCGCAGACATCTCTCGCAGTGCGCCGCCCTGGGGTTGCTGATCTTTTTTACCTCTTTCTGGAAACTGACGCGCGTTACTGAGGAACTCAGCTGTTAAGGTTTTGCTTTCGGCAAATTTTCCCGTTGACGCAGCTCTAGAAGCATCCGCTTGAATGGCTGCTTCGCTTTTTCTCCATTCTTCTCCCGCGGCGTTTGCGGACGGCGGTACATCAAACTCTTGACCCTGCTCTTCTCCTAAAGCATCTTTCTCAGTTTCAGGGACCCGGTTTTTGTCTGCTTCTACGACTGATTGGCCTATTTTCGAGCTCAACTCAGTCCACCGGTTCTCTTCTAGACGAACTATCTCATATCTGGTCTTCAACAGCACCAAGAGAAATAAATTGATTGCGAGAATAAGGAAAACATAGCGTAGGAACACGGAAGGCATCACTTCAAGATGTTAGTTCCTTCTGTAGACCGAGAAAACGTGCAGTGTCACAGGTCTTGATGCCTATAGGATAGAGGACAAAAATACCGAACGCGATAAAAATAAAGAAAGGACTATTAACACAGAGTCTTGATACTTGCTCCAATATTGTTTTAATCTTGGGAGGAGTTAAATGAAAAATTATTCTTTATTTCTCTTAACGATATATTATATATATATATATAATATATATATATATATATTATAACATTTTTTTAGTTCTTGCTACCAGTGATTTTAAGTATTGCCCATATTTTATATTGAATATCCATGGAACGCCTCAGGAGGGCCCAGAACCTTGACATGAAAAAAAAAAAAAAATTGAAAATCAGACGCCTAAAGAACAACCTGACTTTTAGTTGTGTTGTAAAAAAAATCTAAACAAAAATCGAACTTCCAGTTACCGGGTTTGAAACCGAAAGTTTTAACAATTAAACTTATGCTGTAATAATAATTATCAATAATCATTAGTAATATAATATGTGGTATCACAATGAGTGTTATTTTGACACTTCTAACAAAAATAGATAAAATTTATATATACCGGTGCCTCTTTCGATATTTTAAAAATTCTCATCACTGTACGGAATTATTGGGTAGCATTGTAAACACCGATAACCAAAAAAGTCCGACATTAACATCCCTAGTAAAAACTTAAAACCAAAACAAAGTAAATTATTCAGATGTTCAAATTTAGATATTTCTTTCCTTTGCGATTACATTTGACGTTCCAGTGACTCATTTATTGCTTTGGTCAGATTGCTGCATGTACACTGGGTGAAGCCATACAATGCAAGTTCATTTCTATTTCTAGGGCATGCAATATATACTCCCAAAGACAATAACTCTTGAAATAAACCGTGGATATGAGTATGTGTAGTATCAATATAATTAACACGGCTTTATCATTTATATTAACGTTTAAGAATTAAATACTATTCCAGTCGTCGGTGTGTTTACCATTAAAACTTGCTTTATGCACCCATCTTGAACCAGTTTTTCCTTATTATTCAAAGGATCACTATTGATTGTTTTAAAGAAGTTTTCGTGGGGAAACCACCTTTCATAGTATACTCTCCACTAAATAAAAAAAAAAGCAATGCCTTCAATTCATGAAGCCCATATCAAATGGTTATTGGGTGTTTACTCTTTAACGTAAGGAAAAGATACGCACGATCTAGAGTTGTGCTTTGTGGTGCGGTGACACTTTCGTTAAGGCTGAGACTCAATTCCCGATTCAGCCATTAGGGGCGCATAAAAATGTTCATGTGCTCCACTCTTCTTGACACAAATTAACTTAAATGGCAACACACTTCATGGAAATTCTTGGTAAACCCCACCCCCTCCCCCTTTTTTCTGCGTTCATCCACACTGGGAATTTTCAGTAAGGAATGTGTTAAAGACCGCAGGTTCTTTAAGGATAAATGTTTATAAATCAGTTAATAATAATAATAATAATAAAGTTCATTTCAAAAACACGCTTCATCCCCAAAGGCTCGAAGCGCGGTACAAAGTCAAAAAAAAACAAAAACAAATCTATAGTTTACCACATTTAAAACAAACGCAACACGACAAAAACTAAGTACAAGCATACAATGGCAAAGTCTTTCTAGCCATTTCAACCATAAGCAACACAGCCATTATGCATTAACTGGAAAATAATGTTGACAATCATTCCGGTGCAGAGCCATCTATGCAGCTGTACGCCAGGGACAAAATTTTGTAGTTAATGCGCTCACTCACAGGAACCCAATAGAGTTCTCGTAGAGCTGGGGTGATGTGGTCAGGTTTCTTTATCCGCGATAAAATGCGTGCTGCAGTATTTTGTACCTTCTGGAGTCTCTGAATTTGGTATTGCGGTAAACTCCACAAACAACTGTTACAGTAATCTAATCTTGACTGGATTAAAGTTACCACTACACCATTGGCTGTTCTCTTATTGAGTTGAGGACGCAGCTGACCCAGGGCACGCAGATGACAGAAGCATGCCTTGACAACATAACTTATAATGGGGAATCATACTAAATGTACTGTCAATATATAAGCCAAGGTCTCTGACAGTGGAGGACAACGCGATCTCAGAATCACCAACTGTTTTTGACGCGATGGTAACTTTCCGAAGATTGGCGTCTGAACCACAAATAATTGCCTCAGTCTTTTCATTTAATTTTAGTCTGTTCGAGGACATCCACTCTTTCTTTCACAGCGAGACAGCAGTCCTCGACAGCCTCAACAGCAGCAGCGCACTCCAAATGATCCAAATTAAATTCAAACACGTCACGTGCCAACTGACCTTGCCAGCTCACTCGGTCAACGTGCTGACCTTGGTGTTTAAGAATGAGGTTCAATGTGTCGCCCCCCAACAGTGCGTATCAACGTTGAATTGCCTCCTCAGTAAATGGTATCAGGTATTATGTAATTAGTTTCTAATGTCGTGCATTCTCCACCGTGAGTGTTTATTTATTGTTACGTAGTTTAGAATAATAGCCTAGGTGGCAGCACGGAAAATTAACGAACAAAAATTAAATATTTGGCTTCTACGGTCATGACAATTTTTTTTTCGCAAAATACCTGCATGAGTCATTTATCTCAATCTAACCTGGCTTACAAATTTAACTTCAATACTTAAGGCAGCGATGTAGGGAAATTAGGGGGGACGGGACGTCGGATGGGAACGGCGTAAGAGGGGGGTGGGGGTTGTGGTCTGTCATTGGCGACACTTTTCTTCTTTATATTTAATATGAAGGTGGCATTTTTGGCTAACTGCTGGTTTAGTTTCGTATAAGGCAGGCCTGCACAGCTCAAAATGTTAGGCGGGCCGTAATACTTTAGAAAAAAAAAAAAAAA